AATAAAAAATATAAAAATTTAAAAATAATATAAAAATATAAAAAAAAAAAAAAAAAAAAAAAAAAAAAAAAAAAAAAAGGAATTTTACTTACAATTTTTATTTAGCCAAAGTTAATTATAGATGGTACCAGTGAGTATAGCTTTTCATGTACAGATGCAAAGTTACAGATTTGTATATTGCAACATAACAATAATAATTATACAGAGGTAGGAACTATAGCAAAAAAATTAACTATGGATTCAGCATTAACCATGGAGGATAGAATGAGAATAAAATTAAATTCGACCGAAGCAGAAAAGTTAAGAAAGGAAAGAAAAACAGTATTTCTTGATAATAACAATAGTAGTAGCAATAGTATAAATAGTGGTTCAAGTAAATATATATTTATATAAAATTACTTTAGTTATGGTTATTAATGTTATTTATTTATTTTTATGTACAGGAAACACAGGTAGTATAAATAGTAATACAAACAATTGTACAGTTAAAAGAAAACCAAATTTTGTATCATTACCCAAACCTTTACCAACATCGAGTTATTCATCATCCACACAGGTAATACCTCCACCACCGACAATACCCTCATCAGTTGCAAATATTTCAACAACATCAAAAGATAAAGAGCAAACAGTAAAAGAACCAACTACCCCAAATCCAATACCAGCCATTTTACACACAACACCTACTTCGAATAAAGATTCTATATTAAAGGATATAAATATAAGTGGTGGTAGTAGCAATAGTAGTAGTAGTGGTGGTGGAAGTAATAATGGAACACCATTTTCTCCGCAATTAAATTATTCATCCTCAACCCCATCACCTGTTACTTCATTATCTCCCGAATATCACACACCAAATCGTTCACCAAACAGTAGCAAATCAACATCGTCTCCAAGACCACAACTAAATAGTATTAAAGAGCAACAGGATCATAATAATAGTAATATAAATAGCCATGGCCATAATAGTAATAATAATAGTTCATCATCAAATAATGCATCATTTTTATCACTAGAAAAAGATAATAAGCCAAAAAAGAAATCGGTTACACCAACCGTACCGCTTGGATTAAAAGGCGATGCATTAGATAAATACCTACTTCATTATTTACCATTTGGTATAACCAACCAAGTATTAAAGTCAAGATATGACCTTGAGCAACCAAATAATTATCCATATTTAAATAAGGTTGGAATTTTTAAATCGCCAGGTGTTTGGTGGCTAAAGGATGAATTTTTTATCAATGTCTCAGTTGATTTTGAAGACTACAAACCCGAGGAAAGAAATCAAGTTAAAACTAGAAGAAAAGAAGCCTTATTAAGATGTAAAGTAACAGTTCCTGAGCAGCTAACTCAAGTAGAAAAAGAAAATAATAGCCATTCAAATAATAATAATAATAATAATAATCATAATAATAGTCATTATAATGAATTTTCAAATGGACAACATAGTAATAAATTAAATCTAAATAATTTAAATGGTCATTTAGATAGAGTAAATGATTCAATATCACCAAGAAATAAGAATTATCAACAAGTAAATAAAAAACAAAGAATAATACCACCCCCAGCAAGTGTTAAAAATACAAATATAAATAATAACAATAATTGGTTATCTGTAAATAGCAATAATAGTGTTAATGAAAACGATAGTAATAGTAGTAGATCAAACTCACCTATATTATCTCCTTCAGGTTCACCAAATAAGTCAAACGAGCTTTTACCTTGGTCAACTAAATCAGTTTCGTCAACATCATCAACATCATCAACATCATCAATATCATCAACATCATCAACATCATCCACTCCAACCTCCAACAAAAATTCACACCCTCGATCAAAATCATCAAATGTTCAAGATAGAGAACATAAGGAAAGAGAAAGGGAACATAAGGAAAGAGAACATAAGGAAAGAGAGCATAAAGAAAAAGAGCATAAAGAAAAAGAGCATAAAGAAAGAGAACATAAAGAAAGAGAACATAGAGAAAGAGAACACAAAGAAAGAGAACACAAAGAAAGAGAACATAAAGAAAGAGAACATATAGAAAGAGAGCATAGGGAAAATAAAGAAAAAGAACCCAAAGAAAAAGAGCACAAAGAAAAAGAAAATAATAGAGAGCATAACAAAGAAAGAGATAATTATAAAGAAAAAGAACATAATAGAGAAACTAAAGAAAGGGGATCAAATAATAGTGAGTTAAATGAAGTTTTACCATCACATAAAATACCCCTATCTAGTAATTCATCGGTATCATCCTCATCAACAATAACAAACAACTCCATTTCGGCACCAATGATTAGCAAACCACATACCACAATAATACCAAAAGTTAGTACTGGGTTTCTTAGTAAACTGGACGATAGGATTAGTTCATTAAATTCGCAACCAAATCAAGAATCGAGTAGTAGTACACCATCATCAAATAGCAGACCAAATAGTGCTAGAGGTAGTGACAATAGTTTAAAGAGAAAGATGGATTCGATAAGACAAGATCAAAACGATATATCATCAAATACAACTACACCTCCAACCTCAACACCAGTTAAATCTACATCCACCTCTACCACAAGCACACCAACACCTTCCTCTGCTAAATTAACAACGACTACTATTACCACACCAATTACAACCATCCATGGCCCAATAGAATGTGTTAAAGAAAAAGTATTTATAATAAATAGCGAGGACGATTTCAAGTTAATGTTGGAGCTATCAAAATCGAAATATCAAAGATATACTCAAATACATAAATTTATTACAATGAACATTCAAGATTTTCAAAAGTTACAAAGAGAAATGGAAACATGTGATAATAATCAACAAAAGAAAGTTTATACTGAAAAAATATATGGGTTATATGTTGAAAGAAAAGAGGCAAGTTATAATAGATAACGATCATTTAATATATTTTTTATAATTACTAACATAAAATTTTTAATATATTATAGAAAGTTAGAATTGAAAAAGAGGAATATAATAGATTACATACTGAATTAATAGCAATCAAAAGAGTTTTAACTGATTTTCAATTAAAAAGAGTGGATTCAATAAAATAAAATAAACTAAAACAAAATAAAATAAAATTAATAATAATAATAATTAAAAATATATAATATTAAAAAATTATTAATTTATAAATTTAAAAAGAAAAGAAACCCTTATTAATCTAGTACTTTTATTATATAGCTATTATAATGTTTCATATTTTTTTATTTATTTAAATAGTAAATACACTTCAATAATATAGAAATTTTTTTTTTTTAGTTTTATATTATTTTAAATTTACTCCTTAAGAAATAATTTTTTCTAATTATTAAATCGAAGGCTCCAACTATCCAGATACTCTTCAAGTTGTTTTTAATTGGGCCAGAAAACGTACCCATCCAGCTTTAATTGTAATGTCAATTGTATCTCTATTAATCGTTATCGCTTTACTAGTTCTTATAATTTATAAAGTTAGACAATATAAACAACATAAAGGTTATACATCGTTATCATCAAATGATAGAGTTATAAATGATGATTCAAATCATAATTTATAAATTATAACTAAACATTTTAAATATTAATATCTTTTAAAAAAAAAATAAAAAAAATAAAATAATAAAAATTATCTTATTAATTTAGTATTATAATAAACTAAATAAAAATAATATCTTCGAAAAATAAATTATTGTATCTTCAATTTCTACATTTTGGCTATTGTGATTGTCATTGCCATTTAACATAGTCCCCATTTCATTGATAGATTCTTTTTGGCAACCAAAATAAAAAAACTCATTATTGTATCTTCTTCAACTTCTTCATCTTCACTTGTCATTTTCATTTTCATATAACATAGTCTCCTCTTTTATTAAATTAAATTTATTATATTTTTTCAAAAAAAAAAAAAAAAAAAAATTCTTTTTCAAATTTTAATTAAAAACACTAATTGTTTCTTTTTTTTTTTTTTTTTGTAAAGAATATATATTTTAATTTTATCATATTTAAATGATCATTTTTTTTTTAGTTTCTTTAACTATAAGATTTTAAATTATAGAAATTATAAAAACTATAATATTTATAATCTTTCAAGACAATTCTTTTTAAAAATAGAAAGGTTTTATTTTATTTTTGGAGGAAACAAAAAAAGTTTAAGATTTATGAATATTTATTTTACCCCATGATCAATTTCATGTAGTAAAAATAACAAAAAGTAAAATTTTTTTATTTGTATAAAATTAATATTTTATGAGATGTTGTTTTGTATGTTCCTATGTAAAATATGGAGTAGGGTGGATTAGTTTTTAATTTTTAAATTTAGATTTAATTAAAAAACAATAATAGGTATTTTAATTTTGTAATTGTACTATAGATAATTAATTTAAAACTCTTCACACCCCACACACCCACACACCCAAAATAATATCTAAAAAATATAAATGACATCACCCATCCACAATTTTAATTTTTTTTTAAAATTTATAATGATTATAAAAATTTAAAAATCTAAATTTACATAAATAAATAAAATTATTTATATCTCATTTAAAACTTTAAAAAAATAGAAAATTTATCTATTTTTGGGAATCATCCCAAAGTAGAGGTAAATTAGTCTTATATCTTCTTTATATGAATAAACATAATTTAATTGAATCATTGTTAACTCTATCAAACAAAATAAGAATGTAATTTAAATTAAAATCTAAAAAATTAATTTTTATTGGGTAGTTTTAAGAAATTACAACTTTATTCACATCTTAAAAATAAACAAAAATACCAATTAATAAAATAACAAAAAAGTTAATTCAAGTATAATTAATAATTGATATGTAAATAATGCGAAAATAATGCCTCATTATATAAAAATTGGTTGTTTTTCTCAATGTATTCAACATACATTGAATCAATTTGTAAGAACTAGTAAACATTATTGAATCTTTTTATTAATTAAGTAAATTTATGAAAAAAAAAAATATAAATAGGGGTTTTTTTTTTATATTTTTTTCATCAATTTAAACAAACAAAACAATATAATAAAAAACAAAATGTTATTCAGTAAATATTAGTTTTTATAATATTTAAATTAAAATTTATTATCTAATTTTTTTTTTCTCTTTTTTATTAAATATAGAATCATTAGCCTCAGTTAACTTAAAATCAGCAAAAGTCCAAACACAAGCTTTATCAACCAATATGAATGGTGCCCAAGCAAACAACAATGTCCAATTTCTTGATCTCTGCTTAAATCTTGCCCCTCTCTTAAGCCTTGGTTTACATCTTTAAATAATTTGTAAAGGAAATTTTGTACTACACCAATATTTATAAAATATTGAACTGTAACAGAGTAATATTACAAATTGAAACAAAAGAAACAGTACCAACAATTAACAATAACAGTTAGATAAAAAAAAAAAAAAAAAAAAAAAAAATAAATCCATCATTTTCAAAAAAAAAAAAAAACGCAAAGGCTCATATTTTTAGTTCCATGAAAGTTTAGATGGAATTACTCTAACTTTCTTTTTATTATTGTTATTAATAATATTATTATTATTACTATTACTATTACCGTTACTATTGTTATTATTTTGGTCAATATCGTCACCTTTAGATATTTTTGATTTTGTTGGTGTGGTATTTAAAAAATTAAATTGAAGTGTTGAGGTTTCTTCTATATTATGGTTATTATTTTGTTCATCAAACATAAAAAACAATTCGCTATTAACTGTCTTATCTTTTTGATATTGAGTTTTGATTGGGGATGAGCAATATTCTTCGATTTGTGGGAGCTCCTCATCTTGGCTTGAGGATAGAATTGGTGACGAAATTTCGGACCTTTTGTTTATTTCATAAAGTTCTTTTAAATTTAACGGATCACTGCTATCATTCATTTTATCTAAACCAACCTCGCTTCCAGATTCTTGAAATTCAAATTCCTCCTTATCTTTGATTTCCTTTTCTATTTGATTGCTTTCTTCATTTTCATATTCATATTCATTTTCATTTTCATTTTCATTTTCATTTTCATTTTCATTTTCATTTTCATTTTCATTTCCATATTCATTTTCTTTTTCATCTTTTTCTTCTTCTTTCTCTTCATCAATATTTAATTGTTCAATTTCTTTGGGCTTTGTAATATCTTTTCTTTCATTATTAATAACCAATTCTTCATCATCAGAGTCTAAACTAATATCAATAACTTCTTTTGGATAGTTTTCATTTAAAACATTGGAGTTGTGTTTTGAAATGTTTTTGATTGGTTTTACTATTTCCATTTCTTCTTTTTCTTCTTCGTCGCTGTCATCAATACTGAAAACTGTAACTTCTTTTGGTTCTTTTTTAATCGGTGTAATGTTATTATCTGGCACCCTTGTCAAGGGTCTAACGGATCTAGCAGAGGACACTACCCTTCTTTTTTGTTTTTTTGGCGATTCAATGGTATTACTGTCTATTTTTTGTTTTTTATTTGAGTTTTCTTTCTCTTCAATATTTCTTTTGTTTTTTGAATCTTTGTTGGATACTATAATTTTCTCCTCATTACTTTTTTCAATTTGAACTTCTAGCTCTTCGACCTCACTGTCACTAGCAGAATGTTGGTCAAAGTCATTATTACCATTATCGTCATCATCATCCGAATAACCCCCGCCAAAATTACTAAAGTCGAAATCATCTAAATTTTTTTCATTGCTACTATTATTGTTATTTATATTATTATTGTGAACATTATTATTATTATTATTATTATTATTGTGAGCATTATTATTATCGTGAACATTATTATTGTTTATATTTTCAGTTGGTAATGTTTCATAAACAATATTATTATAGCTATGGTCTACATTATTATTATTATTATTATTATCATCATCAATATTATTGTTTCTGTTAATGTATTGATTATAAATTGGGTTTATATTTTTTGAATTATATAAATTTGAAATATTTTTAAAAATATTTTTAAAACAATTAATTTTTAGATCTGAAGGTAACTTTTTAAATGATTCTAAAATCTGAGTGTTTTTATCTTTTGCAGTATTTAGTTTAGATCTATGTATATAAAATTAAAAATTATAAATATAAAAAATTAATATCTTTTCCTTTTTTTTTTATTTTTTTTTTAAATTATGAATTTTACATATTCAAATCATTTTCTAAATTGCCTAAAACAGATTCCCTATCTTTTTTTTTTTTTTTTTTATTTTTTTTTTATTTTTTTTTTTTATTTAATTTTGTTTTTTTTTTTTAAATAAGAAAACATTAGTATTTATATATAGAAAATAAAAGTAAGTTAGATATTTATTTACATTGTTTTAATGAGGTTATTTTTTCCATTGGGTTTTCATGTTCACTTTAATAATTTTTAAAAAATTATAATAAATAAAAAAATTTAAAAAAAATTTCAATTTTTTTTTTTTTTAAAAAAATTTAATTTTTTTTTAAAAATCTTTTTTTTTTTTTTTATTTTTATTTATGATTATTTTTTTATAATTACATTATATTGCATAAATAGGTATCAAAAAATTACATTTAAACAATTATATTTAAAATAAAAAATGGCACCGAGAAAAAAAGCAGCTTCAAAAAAACAACCAAAATTAGAAAGGTAAATAAACATATGAATAAAAATAAAACAAAATATTGTTATCAAATTTGGAAAATAATTTTTTTTTTTTTTAAAAAAAATAATTTATTAATAAATATTTAAATTATTCTCTAGTGATGTAGAAAAAGAAGAAATTGTAGAGGAAAAAAAAAGTAAAAGAAATTCAAAGAAATCAAAAAAGATAGAAGAGGTTGAAGAAGAAGAAGAAGTTGCAATTGAAGAGGTTGAAAATAATAATGATGGTGAAGATAATAATGAAGAAGAGGGTGAAGAGGAGGACAATAGTGGTGGTGAAAAGAAAAAGCATAAGAGACATAAACACCGTCGTCATAAACATCGTCGTTCACATAGTCGTAGTGAAGATAATGATGAGGAGAATAATGAGGGTGAAGATGCCGAAAACGATGAACAAGATGATGGATCTGAAGAAAAGAAGAAAAAGAAACACAGAAAACATAGATCAAAGAGACACCGATCAAAGAAAAATGATGATGAAGAAGGAGAAACTGCAGATGATAACAACAATGGTGACGATACAGATAATATAGATGAAAAAAAGACAGATGATGACGAGGAGGAAGAAGAAAGAAGATTAAGAAAAGAAAAAAGAAGAGCTAAAAAGAGAAATAGTGAAGGTGGTGATACTGAAAGAAAAGAAAAACATAAAAAGAGAAGGTCAAAGAAACGTGATGAGCAAGAGGAGGATGAGGAACCAGTTGAAGAGGAGGAGGCAAAACAAGTTCCAGAGGAAAATGAAGAACAGATTATAGAAGAAAAAGTGGAACAGCAAGAAGAAGAAAAAGAACCATTTGAAAGACAAGAGATTCATCAAGAGCAGGAAATTAATAAATTCGACGTTGGTGAAGAAGATAGAGAAAGATATGATGATAGAGATAGACGTCGTGATAGAGATAGATCACGAGATAGGGAATACAGAGATAGAGACCGTGACAGAGAATATAGGGATAGATCACGTGACAGATATAGATCCGACAGAGATTATAGATATGAAGATGACAGGGATAGACGTCGTGATAGAGATAGATCACGAGATAAAGAAAGAGAATATTATAGTGGTAGAGATAATTATAGAGACTATAGAGATAGAGAAAGATCCCGTTCAAGAGATAGGGAAAGAGACCGTGATAGAGAAAGAAGGAATGGCAGAGAAGGAGACGATAGACCTAAGCAACAAGTTCAACAAAAACCACACGTTTATCAACCACCAAAAGAAAACTTTTTTTCATCTTATAAACCTATTCAACCAAATATTATACCATCAAATACAAATAAAAGTAAATTTGGCGAAAGAATTTTAAGTATAGCACCACAAGAGCCACCTCCAAATTTTCAAATCCCAATTCCCAGATTATATAGAGATAGTGATAATTTAAATAATTCAACAACTACAACAACTTCAACTATTTCATATGATCATCATACATCTTATAATAGTAATAATACAAACAGTAATAATAATAATAATAATAATAATAATAATAATAATAATAATAATAATAGTAATAGTTATAGCTATAGTAATAATAATAATAGTAATAATAATAATATGAATAGTAATAATAATAATAATAAAATAAATGATTTAGGTTCAAAACCCAATTATTTAGCTAATTTCAGTGATGTATTCCAACAAATTCAAAAACCATTCGATAATCAAGATAATAAAGAAGCCAATATACCAACCAAAACTAAAGATTTATCTCAACATAAAAAACCATCATCAAATAAGAAATATAATGAAAAAGAATTTAAGGTTCAAATTTCAAAGATTGTTATTGAAAAGCTTACAAAATATTATAAAAAGAAAATTACATCAAAAGAGGATTTCCAATATCTTGCAAAGAAATTTACATCCTTTGTAATTGAAAAGGAACATGGCAATTTAACAATTACTAAAGATTCACCAAAGAAAATTGAAAAGGTAATTGGCCAATACTTTGAAAAGAAAGATGTGTATGATAGAAAAAAAGATAAAGATTATAAAAAATCAACTCAAGATGACCCAAGCAAAGCAAATCAGCAAAACGAAGGTTTCGAGTTTGATATAAATGGAACAGATAATATAGCATCAACTGCAAATTTAGATGAAAAAATAACTGTTGAAGCCTCATCATTAAATGAATCAAAAGTAGATTTAAATGATATTGGTTTAGTTTCAACAACAGCTTCAGAAATATCAACAACAACAACAGTTACTACCACAACACAATCAAATTAAAAAAAAAGAAATCAATTTTTAATAATAAAGCTATAAAAAAATAAAAACAAAATTAAAAATATAAATAAATAACCAAAACTATTATTTTTTAATGTATAAATTAAATCTTTTTAAAAATTATAAAATAAATTTTATTTTTATTTTTTAAATTTATAATTGTTTAATCGCAAAAATAATTTTTCTTTTGGTTTGTTATAATTGCAATTGATTCGTTTATACCTGTAGTTGAACTTTTAATTGCACAAGTGATGAAATGGCAGAATTTACATTTGAATAGACTCCATCCAGAATTACAAAATTCATTTTTTCCAGCAACACCACCATTGAACATACTGTAGTTGGCTGCAGAGGCACCACTGGTTGGGCCAATAGATTTGACTTTGGTATTGGTTGGTGGTGTAAAAATTACAGAGGTTCTTTGATAATCACCAACGACATTAATGGTATTGGTATATCCCCATTCTAAATATTTACTATCGTTATTATCATACTCATGTAATTTTTTCATATCATTTAGGAAATTGGAGCAACCATAACGACTATTTGGACAGGAGTCTTGGGAATCTACGGCATTGCTTTCACAGTTACATTTTCTTGGTGGATTATCGAAAGGAGCCAATAGAGTGAAACTACAAGATCCACAAAGACATTGGAAACGAATAGTATTAGTTTCACCACCACTCCACTCAGCTAAGCCTTTGAGTGTTCTTCTTTGTTTACCCCAACGACATAATTGTTCGACAAAGCCAGGATTTGGTGAAATAATATAACGGCAATCTCTTACAATAATGAAAGCTTCAAAGTAACTAATTGATTTTGATTCCATAAAATATGCTATTGCTAATGATGAAGAACGTGATACACCTTTATCTGAACAAATTAGAACCTTACCATGACGACAAATTGCATCACGAATAAAATCGAATGCTGACATTAAAGATTGGACTATATCTTGCGATGGTTGATCGTGAAGTTGTAAATGAAGGTATTCGAAATGGTCAGGGAAGGCATTGGGAGAACCAGTACAATTAATAATATGGGTAATTTGAAATTCATTAATTAACATATTCTTGTTCATTGATGGATTAAAAGATGAAATGAACATAAATGGTGCGATTTGAGATGGACGATCCATATAGAAACGATGCTCTGGAAATTCTGGAGGTTCATATGGGATCTCCTCTTCCATATAATCTTTTGGTTTGATGTTATTTGCATTGGCTGCTAATGTACCACCTTTGGTTGAGATATTTACATTATGTGGAAGAAAACGACCTGGAGTATAGTGACCACTGATTCTAGTATTTTTACCTTTATAACGAGTACCATCGCCACCATTGTAATATTGTTTTGGTTGTTGGCTTCCACTAACTGAACTAAGGCCCTCTGATATTTCTTTAAGTTGCTCTACTTGTTGAAGGATAACTGGTTTAATGGCGTTGAATTTGGTTAAAATATCTCGTAATGATGGACGATAGAATGGATCACGAACAAATACATAGTCTAAAAATTCTAAAATTGCTGGAATATTTGCAACTTTAGCTTTTCTTTCTGGAGTGATTAATTCTTGACCTGGTTGTGTGACACGAATAAAGAATTTTACCCAATCATTATCGTAAAATAAGAAATCACCAGTTAAAAGTTCATAAAACAAGCAACCCAATGACCAAACATCACTAGCAGTATTTGAACCAACCTTTTTACGTCTATCAAAGTTTTCTCTAGTCTTTTGAGAGGCATAGGCTATTGTAAGCATTTCTGGTGATTTTATAAATTCGGTACCACGGTTTCTAGTTGTATAACCCTCAACATCGAGTGTGTATACCTTGGCCTCACCCCAATCTGCTAAGCAAACAGCAAAGTTTGGATCGTTTGTTGGTTGACTCCAAAAGTCCTCTTCAATGGTACCTTTCTTTAATGGATGCACTAAAAAGTTATCACACTTGATATCAAAATGGTTAATCTTATGATCGGCTAAAAATTGTACTGATTGCAAAACTAGAGTATAAATGTTTAAAAAGAGTGGTAGTTGTTGGAGGAAAGGTAAGGTTTGTTTTAAACGCCATTCTTTAAGACTACATTTGTATGATTTCATTACTATCCAATAATTTTCACCATCGACACCATAATCAAACATGTGGCAACCTCTTGAATCTTCTCTAAAAGTATCCATAATTAAAATTTCTGTGAAAATATCGTAAAGTACACAACGATCGTGAATAGTTTTTGGAACTGGCATTAATTTAACAGCAATTTCTAAACCCTCATCATTGGCTAGTGTACCTTTATAAACTGTACCATAAGCACCTTTTGCAACTCTTTTCAAATCTTTAAATAGTGAAGAGTGGTAAAAACGACTGAATAGAAGCTTGAGAATTCTAAAATGATTTGGTCCCATTTCGTGTGTTCTTTTTGTTAATTCTGGTATAATCTTTTCGTTATCGTGATGATTGATATGAAGATGTAAAATGAATGGTACATTTAATTTTTTTGCAACAATTGGGAACTGATCGGAATAAAGATGCTCTAAAGTTTCGTTAGAGTTTAATAAGAGACTGAAAATTAATTGTAGTAATGAAATATGTAAATCTCTATCGTGATAAAGTTTTCTATTATTTCTTTCCATTTGATACCTTTGATTTTCATTAAATATTTCATTTTCAGTTGGTTCATTCTGTTGTTCAGTGTCTCTGTCAGTTGCGCTTGGTGTTAATGATTGTGAAATATTATCTAAAACCAATTGGAACTTGGGGTCTTGTGGATCAATTTTTTGTTCGATTGATGATAAAACGCCAGATCCTGCTTGTTGAGCCTCCTCTTCTGCTCTAACTTTGATAGCTGGGAGTTTTAATTTTGGAATTGATATTGAAAGTTTACCAATTGGGGGTTTTGAATCTGATATATTGATTGGTAAATTATTTTGAATTGTTGAGGAGTTATTTGTATTTAATGAATTTAAATTTGTATTAAGTGTTGGTGATCCACCTTTGCTAACTGTAGAAAGATTTAAGGCAAATTTGACTGTTGGTTTTGTTTGAGCTGGTGTATTTGAATTATTGCTATTATTATTATTATTATTATTATTATTATTATTATTATTATTATTATTATTATTATTATTATTATTATTACCACCTAAAGCCAATTTGGGTATAGCTGGTTTGGTCTCGGTTGCCACAGCTGTACTATTGCCTCCTAAAGCTAATTTAGGTACAACTGGTTTAGGTTCGGTTGCTACAGTTGTACTATTGCCACCTAAAGCTAGTTTTGGTATAACCGGCTTTGAATCATTTGCTGGGTTTGTTGCTGTATTACTAGCCAAGGCTAGTTTTGGTATTATTGGCTTTGTATCAGTGGATGGTTTGGGTTCAGTTGTTACAGTTGCGTTACCGCCTAAAGCCAACTTAGGTACAACTGGTTTAGGCTCGGTTGTTACAGTTGTATTATTACCACCTAAAGCCAATTTAGGTATAACTGGTTTGGTCTCGGCTGCTACAGTTGTATTGTTACCACCTAACGCTAGTTTTGGTATTACAGGTTTTGAATCAGTTGCAGTGGTTGTATTGCCGCCCAAAGCCAACTTAGGTACAACTGGTTTTGTGTCAGTAGCTGATTGTGTTGCATTACCACCACCCAAAGCTAATTTGGGTATTACAGGTTTCGAATCTGATGTACCACTACCATTATTACTATTTACAACAGGTAATGAAAGTTTTGGTATAGTTGGTAGTTGTGCTCCTGAGCTGCTAGATGGATCAGTTTTTAAAGGTAATTTTAAAAGTGGTGGTACTTTTGGTTTGGCCAACCCGACAACAGGATCAGAAGCCACTGTATTTTGGTCTTTTTGTAAGCCTGAGAGATTTAAACTTAAGCTAAGTTTTCCTGTTGAAATAGAGTTGTTTGGTGCAGTTGTATTAACATTAGTGACTGCTGGAGTTGTTTGGGCTGTTGGTGGGGTTGAGGATCCATGATCACTGCAATCACTCGAAAAGAATGGAATTGAAGATAAGGGTTTTAAAAATTGGTCTTTATTTTGTTTGATTTCATATTCTAAATTTACCTCCCTAACCATAAAGTCCAATATTTTTAATTGATAAAACTTCATTGATATTTTATCATTTTTACTATAAAACAAAAGAAATACTGTTAGTAAATGCTCATAATTTATAAAGTTAATTGCTACAAACTATTACTTACTTTACAGAAAATGAAATTAAAATATTTAAAAATAATTTACATAGGGTTAATGTTGCTTGATCAAAAATATAATTATTATAGAGCTTTATAAAACTGATATAAATATAACTGATATAGGAATCTACATATAATTTTTTTCGGGTAAAAGGAGTTCTTTTAAATAAAAATACATGATTTAAAAACTTTAACATTTGCTTTTTTAAATGAAAATGCTGGAAAAAAGAGTTGCTGCTTTGAAGAAAAGGTAAAATGATACCTTGAGCTGGTAATAAAAGAAACTCCATTTTCTTTACCAAATCTGAAATTTCATTCTCTGTTTGTTGATGCTGTTGTTGTTGTTGAGTGTGTGGGGTTGAAACTTGGTTATTATAACCATTACTACTATTTACATTGTTGCCACCGTATTGATTAGAAAGATTCTGCTCTTTGAATTTTAACATTTTAACACAAACTGAGAAATGTTTAATTGCACGACATCTGAATTCGGTAAGCTTTGTCTTGTTTGGATCATTTGGATAGCATTTGAGAAACTCTTTTTCGATAGACTCATTGGTTAAAATTTGGATGGTATATTGTTTAATAAATTGGAAAGATTCATCACGTTCTAAAAATATTGAAATAAACAGGTCATTTAAAGCTGATTGTTTATTTTGCTTAATAACTTCATCTAAAACGGTAAGAAGATAATGTACAATATGAAGATCTTTAATACGGTCAGGTGTAATTGGGCCTCTAAAGAAACTATGCTTAACTTTTAATAATGATTCAATACAAACATCGACAACTTGATATGATAATACCCTAGATGGACAATTCTTTATATACTCTGCCAACATGCATAGTTGATACTCTAAATCATCAAAAATGTAGGTTTCTAACATACTTGATATACTACTATTAATACGCCATATTAATAAATCCAATTTCTTTCTATATGATGCTTTTCTATTGATATTCATATCCTTGGTGAAATCTAACCATCTATTACGGTGGATGTACTCTACGTAATCTGACCAATGACTTGCCAATTTATAAAAGAGATTTAAATGATCACGATCCGATGGTATTATTCCCTTATGCAAAAGAATTGATTCAGAGTATAACATATTGATTGGGTTATTACCATATTGTAGCAACATTAGGTTATTTGATGTTGAAGATATTAAAGTTTTTAAAATATTACAACGTACTCTGTATAGATTTGACTCTGATAATAGAGTTGAGTTTGAATTTTTATGTATTAAGGATTGAGCTTGTTGATTTTGTTGGCTGTTATTTATATTTGATAGTTGGTCATTTCTTCTCGATGAAATTGAACGTTTTGACTGTTTGTGTGATTCGATAGCTTGTTTATAAGAAATTAATGCTGTTAGATCGGAGGTCATATATGTCTCACCCAATTTAGTTGCAATATCTATTAACTCTTTAGTTGCATTAGTTTCAAATTTTAATATGTTTTCACCTGGTTGAGATCTCGTTGAATTTGACTGGCCATCTTCTCTTCTTCTACTTGATCTTGTCATTCTGGCATTATTTTCAACACGAACCGGTAAGTTAAGTTTAGGCACTGCAATTTTACCTAAACCACCCAATGATAATTTAGCTAAACCACCTGTTGCACCATTGATGTTTGATTGGTGAAGTGGTGGACTTGTTGGTAATGATACACTTTGAGATGACGATGATGTTGGTGTGTGATTATGTGTACCTGCACTGTTAGGTGTGTTATTTAAATGCCCTATTTGATTCGAACTATTATTTAGGCTATTTGATAATGGTAATAATGGAATTACTCTATTGGTTGGTCCTGGTGTTGGTGTTGCTGTATGATGAGAATGATGATTATGAAGATGGTGATGATGGTTAATTGTTGAGGCACTAATCAATGGACTATCAGAAGGGCTTGATGTGGTACTATCATTATTACCTCTATTTCTATTAAACAATGGAGGTGTTTGATATAAATTTGGGTTATGATATTGCATTGAAGAAACCTGACCAATAGATGTTGGTTTGTTTGTTGTAGTGTTTGAATTTGATAATAGGGTTGGGGTTGTAGTCGTTGATGAATTTAATGTTGTATTGTTATTATTACTATTATTGGTGGGATTGGTATTTATGTTGTTTGGAGATGTTATTGATTGTGATGTTGGGGTAGTTGGTTGATGTAAATGATCTCTAGCTGTTAGAATTTGCTCTCTTTCTTTTTGTGGCTTTGGTATGGGTACACTTGTTAATATATTTTCAAAAGAAAAACCTTTTGGAACGGGTGGAGGTGTTCCATCCTCACTCCAACAAGGTATATTGATATTTTGAAAACTATGAAAATTTTCATTTTCGCTGCAACAATTAGCACTATTATTGCTATTACGTTTTTCTTTATTAATACTATTATTATTATTGGCTGTATTTGCTGTATTTGCTGTTGATGAAATATTATTACCATTGCCCTGCTCAATATTTGGCACTGTATTTATATAAATTGTTGGGTCAGTTTTAAAATTTAATTTTGCCAATGCTAATGAGCATTTATAATAAATTTCTAATAATTTTGGTATACATAAATCCTCAATAAATATCTATTTTTTTTTAATAAGAAAAAAAATTAATATTTAATAAATTTTATTGAGTATATATTTAATTCTTACAGATCTTAAAGGATAAAATGAGATGATTTTAGTTAAAACATCTGAAATACCAATACATTCAATATCGTTATATAAATGTGAAATAATTTGTTTGCAAAATAACCTTGATGCATCATGGGAATTATCTATTAATTGTTGGCATATATCAATAATGTTGTCATTATTTATAGAATTTTTACCACAGAAACATAAACATTGAATTAATATAGTGATGCCACCTTGTGTAATACAGTTGTTTTTTTCATTAAAATCCAACATTTTAATCTTTTCTTTTAATGATGATAATGATTCCTGCAGTTGATTGCTTTTTTCTTTAATTTCATTTGGCCCCTCATTCCCTTTTAATCTAATCGAATGATTTAATGATGAAAATAACTAAAATAAATAAATTAATAATTTAATCATTTAATATTTATTATATTATTTATTATATTATTATTATTTGTATTACTATTACTATTACTATTTAGTATTTACTATTACTATTACTATTACTATTACTATTACTATTACTATTACTATTACTATTACTATTACTATTACTATTACTATTACTATTACTATTACTATTACTATTACTATTACTATTACTATTACTATTACTATTACTATTGTTCTATTATCTTTAAATAAATATACTTACATCTTCGACATCGATTAAATATTGTTTTTGTTTATGAGGAGCTAAAGAAAGAGCACGATATTTTCTAGATCTTTCCATCATGCCGAGATATAATATATTGTAAAATTAAGATTAATAAACCTATCAAACAATTAATTATTATTATCTCTTTATCTTTTTTTTTTTTAGTTAAAATTAACACACGCACACATATATAAACTCCTTTTTTTTTGAAAAAAAAAAAATTATTATAAATATTATTATTACTATTAATTTAATATTATGTAAAAATATCTTTATTATTGTTTTATCTTTTATTTTATTATTTGTGCTAAATTAAAGGTTTTGTTTAATATAAATCTTTTTTTATAATTGTTTTTTTATAAAATTAATTGAAAAAATTAAAAAAAAAATTTTATTTTTTATTTTTAATTTTTTTTTATTTTTTTATAATTAAATTTTTTTTTTTTTTTGATAAATCAAAAAAAAGTTAATAATTATCTTTGAATTCCTTTTTAAAACCTTTTTTTTCCATTTTTATTTTTATATATTACTCCTTTTTTTGTTTAATTTATAAATATTTTAAGATATATAAATTAAAATCATAGTTATTTTAATTTACAAATGCTATATAAAGTAAAAAAAAAAAAATAATAAAAAATAAAAAAACATTTTTATCATGTGTGGTATAAAGAAATATTAAAGAATCACCCCACTTGCAATAATCATACATTGTAAATACTTTTATCCAGTGTAATTCAAAAAAAAAAAAAAATTTGTATTCTTTGTTATTTAAATTTAATTCAAATAATTTTTTTTTTATTTTTTTTTTATATTTTTTCTCCCCTTTAAATTCGATTTTATAAAGTAATTTTTATTACTTGTAACCTTTAAGAAATGGATATATTAAAAAAAACTTTATTAATATTTTCAATTTTTTTATTATATGGAAATTTAATTTGTAATTTAGATGTATAAAAAAAAAAAAAATAAAAAAAAAATATTCTAATATAATTTTTATTTTATAATAACAGCATCACAAGATACCATTGATTTGACAGGTGTTATTTTTGATCAATCTCCTGCTAGAAATCGTAAGTATTAAATAATTTCTAAAAAATACAAAAAAAAAATCATTATTAATATCCTATTTTTCATCCCATAGCCGACTTTGAAATTAATCGTAGGTTTTTCATTAATACCATATGAAATAAACTAAAAAAAAAATAATAATATGAATATATAAAATATAGAGATAAAAAAAATAAAAAAAAAATAGTATTAATAATTTAATTCTTACAATTTAAATTTTAGCATATTCTGGTGGAGTGACTCCAGGAATAGTATTAAATACTGTAAATATTTATAATTATTTTAGAAAACTCTTAATATAAACTAATATTTTATTATAGCTCGGAGCAAATGGAACACCTCAATATTGTTGTGGAAATAACCCGGTTATGAAAGCTGGTACTTTTGTTGTTCACAACCAAACCACTTTCAGTAGTTGGTTCAATCCTGCAAGTGGTATTAATATTGCGATCCCAATTACACTTACTCTAACAAGAAATGCAAATGGGGTTTATACTCATCAATCCCAATCATTTTTCCCAATAGGTATTATTTTATACTTATATTTTTATAAAACTATAATCATTCACTAACCTTTAATAACTATAAAAATTTATTTCAATGTAAAAAGATGGTCAAGGTTTTGACAACAGAACCAACTATCCAAATGAAGTCCATTATTTTGGTCACAACTATCATTTTTGGTAAGTTTTTAAAGAAATATTATTATTTAAAAAAAAAAATTTTATTAATTTTTTCTATTTAATAAAAAGTATGAGAATTCATTATTCATTTGTATATAGAGGTGGAGAATACTTTGTAAGGTCACTACATTTTAATTATTAATTATAAATATTAATTTTAAATATTAATTTTCTTTATTCTCATTAAAAAAAAAAATTAAAAAATAGAAATTTACTGGAGATGATGATGTATGTTTTTATTTAACTTTTTAAAAAATTTTTATTTAAACTAATTTTATTTTTACAGGTTTGGGTATACTTTAATAACAAATTAAGTATAGATATTGGTGGTATTCATCAAGGTGCATCACGTACTGTTATGTTAGATCAATTAGGTTTAACAAGAGGTCAAACATACCCATGGGATTTCTTTTATTGTGAAAGACACACAACCGCCAGTACTCTAAATATTGAAACAAATTTAATTTTCCAATGTGCTTACTATGACAGATGCAATGTTTGTCAAGGTAAAAACGATACATGTTGTTTTGAAAGTAAGTTGAAAAAAAACAACTTTATTTATACCAAATACTAACTCTATTTTCGAAACAAAATTCAGATAAATGTTTTAACCCTGCAGATCCATGCTTATTATATGATTGTAATGCAGGAACCAATTTCAATTGTAAGAGACGTCTTGGTGAGTGTAATAATGGTGATTTGTGTTCCAGTAAGTACTATTACCATAATAATTTCTGTAAAAAACATTTTAAATCAAACTGTTAATTTTCTAATTTTTTAAATTAGATTCAATATGTATTAGAGGAATCGGTTGCCAATATTCAAGCAAATGTGATGACCTTGACCCATGCACCTTAGATAACTGTGCATCTGCAACTGGAGCATGTACACACACCCCAGTTTCTTGTGATGATGGTAACAGATGTACCAATGATTTATGTGACTCAAGAGGTGGTAAATGTGTTAACGTGCCAGTCTCTTGTGATGATGGTGATGAATGTACAAATGATCACTGTTCTCCAGTACTGGGTTGTTTACACACAACAAAGAATTGTATCGATAATTTAGGTTGCACTGGTAAGACCAATTAATATAAAAAAAAAAAAAAAAAACCTTTATTAATTATTTTTTCTATAAACAGTCGATACATGTGATAGTGCAACTGGTTGTGTCAATACGCTAGTAGCTAATTGTACTGAATGCCATGAGTCTGATATTGCACAGTGTATTACCACAGACCTATGTTTCCCAAAGGTATAAATATATTAGTAATTAAATATACTAACTATGGTTTATTAATTTTAATTTTTTTTTTTTATGTATATTTAGGTTTGTGATCCATTAAATAACAATGAATGTATTACACATGCACTTAATTGCTCTATTTTTGAAACTGAGTGTAGGTTTTTTTTTGTAATAATTTTAAATTTTAAAATTAACTATTAACTATTCAACTATTAGGTATTGATGTCAAATGTGTAAATGGAGAATGTAGATTTAGATATACATGTGAAACACCACAACCATCCGAATCCCCAACTGCTTCACTCAACGTCACTGTCACCCCAGTCCACCCCCACACCCTCCGTCCAACGGTAACAATTACACAACCACCAACTCCTACTCCAACTGGTACTCCACTACCACCAAATAAATACCACGATGATGTACCTCCAGAAGATCTCTTATCATCATGTTTAGTTTGTGAAGACCTTAACTGTAAATCCCATGTATCAGATAATGGCCAACCGGGCTCGTGTACCTATGTAAAGAATGACTTGTATGATGAAGATAATTGCGAAGACTGTTGTTTATGGATCCCAACTTGTTACTATGATAGCGCACTCCCAGATAATGCATTTGCATTGGCCGATGATAGCGCTGTTTAAAATAAGATCTCTTTATATTAAAAAATAAAAAATTAATATTTTTGTGAAAAAAAGAAAAAAGTTTATTGTTTTTTTAAATTTTTTAAAACTATTATTATATTACTAAAGCATTTAGTAGTACGATTATCAGTTTTTTTTATATATATATATTATTTATTAAAATTATTTTTTTTTTTTTTTGGTTATTTTTTTTTTTCTAAAATTTAAATTGAAAAACTATGTATAATTTGAATATAATAATTAAATTGAAAGAAAATTAAATCCATATGATAAAGGTTTTCATCAATGATTTGATCTGTACTAAAGATAGTAATTTGGAACTGAAATTGGGGTGGCGAATCTTTCGCCGAAAGCAATATCTCTGTATTCTCTGAATGGGAAGCCATTGTCGTCAATTTGTTGGGCCTGTTGTTTTTGTTGTAAGAATAATTCCATTAATTTTGTATCGTTAGATTCTTTAGCTTGAGCAATTGGAGTAACGCCTTCATTATCTGGGAGTGAAACACAAGCACCATAATTTAAAAGAATTTTTGAGGTTTCGAAATCACCGAAAGCTGTGGAGAAATGTAAAAGAGATTCACCATCTTCGTTAATACAGTTAACATCGGCACCTTTTGATAAAAGATAAGAGAGAATTGATTGTTGTTTATCACGAATGGCGTAGTGGCATGGAGTATCACCTTCTTCATCAGCGGCATTGATATTGGCACCACATGAAACTAAAAGTTGAACAATATCCAAAGAACCAATAGAGACAGCTTTGTGGAGTGGAGTGATTTCTTCGCAATCCGGCATGTTGATGTTGGCACCTTTCAATAAGAGGTATCTAATATATGGGGTGTTTTGGGCAGCAATTGCCAATTGTAATAATGTTGTACCTGCTTCGTTTTGTGAGTTAATACTAATACCAGAGTTGAGGAAGTTGTCTATTGATTGGAAATCTTTTATCAAAAAGAATTGAATTAAAAGGTCCATTACCTTGAATGATTCTATTACTACTCTGTTCTTTACTGTTCCACAAACCCCGTCTGGGATTGTGCTGTTTTGTTGTGCATTGGCTGGTGGCTTTTGATTATTGCTAGTGGTATTATTGCTAGAGGATGACATCTTATTTGGGGCGAAGTTTTCCTTTAAAATTGATTATGAACTTTTGATTCTGAAAAATATATAAAACTTAATGTTAGGTTATTGGTTTGAAAAAATTATCCGTTCTAAAGAAACTGTGGATTGCTATTGATTGAATTTGTGTGTGATTTAACTAAAACTCGGGAATTTTAATGTTAAATTTACTAACGAAAAAAATAATAATAATAACTATCCTATGAGAATTACTATTATTTTCTTATTACTAAATTTAAATTAAAACCTAAGTTATTTACTTTTTTTTTATTCTTAAAAAAAGTTTGTAATAAATTTATAGGTTTAATTGAAATATGATTAAGGAGGGGGATTTTTGTTGTTGCTTTTGAAAAAGAAGTTTTTTTAAAAATTAAAATTAATTATAATTATTAAATTTAATTTGTTGAAAAAAAAAAAAAAAAACGATTTATAATATTGCTGTAAAAATTATTACTATTATTATGTGATGAAATTTAATTAAATTGTGATATATAGATTTAATATTGTTTTTCTATGTCAAAAAAATATTATTTATTATTATTATTATTTAGAAAAAAAATAATACAGAAAAAAAAATTATTATTATAGTATTGTTATAACAAAATAAAATTTTTAAAAAAAATTAAGAAAAAAATAATAAAAGTTTTGAAAAATAAAAAATAAAAAAAATAAAAAATAAAAAATTTAAAAAAATAAGAAAAAAAATGTAATTTTAGTTATGAAAAAAAATTATTATTATTATTATTATTATTATTATTATTATTATTATTATTAATAATTTATTGAGTTTAACTTTTTTTAAATTTTTTTTTTTTAATTTTAAAATTTTTAAATGGGGTTTTTTTTATGTGTTTAGAATATTTAGAGGGTGGTGTATTATTTATTTGTTTGGGGGTTTTTTTAAATTTTGGAAGAAAAAAAAAAAAAAAAAAAAAAAAAAATTTAAATTTTTTAAAAAAAATTATTTTAAAAATTATTATATTTTTCTCAAAATTGGTAAATGTAAATCTTTAAGAGAATGATATGAATATGAGAAACAAATGTTGAAATTGGTTTTTTGGGAGGTTAAAAAAAAAAAAAAAGAAAGAGTTTGGATTGATTCTACCCTGGTTTTTTTTTTTTTTATCAGATTTCTTTTTATATTTTATGGAATAAAAAAAAAAAAGAAAAATAAAATAAAAAAAAATGAACAATTGAATCTTATTCCAATATAAATAACTATAAATTATTTGGATGGTGATGTAATGTACAAATTTAAAAAAAAAATTGTCAAAAGAAAAATTTATAGAAAAATAAAATAAAATTTATAGAAAAAAAAAAAATTGAAAATAATATAGTTTTTTAATTTAAATTATATTGAAAACTTGAAAATTATATGGTATAGAAAAGGTTTTATGATGGATGTTATTATGTTTTGAGAATAATATTTGAATTGAAATGAACAGGTAATTTTTTTCTTTCTATTTATTATTTTTTTTTTTTTTATGTAATTATATAAATAATTATTATATTTTTATTGTTATTGTTATTATTACTAGTACAACTCTAATTTTTATTTTTATTACAATTGCAATTTTTTTATTACAATTGCAATTTTTTTTTTTGTGTTGATTGTATTTAATTTTCTTTTTTTCTTTTTCTTTTTTTTTTTATTTTAATATATGTTTATTATGATAATAATAAAACTGTGTTTGTGTGTTGGGGTGTTGGTGTTTTTTTTTTGGAGTGTTAGGAGCTGGGTGTTGGGTGTTGAGTGTTGAGTGTTGGGTGTTGAATTGGTTATAAAAAAAAAATACAAAATCAGATGAGAGTATATTTTTAAATATGAAACATAGTGATCATAAATTTAACACTTACTTAAGTTTTTTTTTATTATTATTATTATTATTTAATTTAAATATTTTTTTCCTTCCAAAAAAAAAAAATTTTAAATTATGTGTGCGAAAAATTATATACAGAAAAAATTATATACAAACGAGAAAAAAAAATATATATACTAATGAATTTGATATATTATTATACAAAAAATAATTTCAACTAGTTTTATTAAATAAATATTATTTAAAAGTTTAATTTTAGGTTATTTTGTATTTTTAAATACAATTAAAAAAAAAAAAAAAAAAAAAATTTAACTAAATAATAAATTGTATCCTTTCTTTTTTTTTTCCTTTCTTTTTTTTTTTTTGTTAATTGTATGATAAATTTTTAACATTCTAACAATTGTTTTGGTTTGGGATTCCACTGGTTTTTTTTTACACACAAAAATTAAAAAGTTAGAAATTTATAATATATTAAATTTTTAAAAATATTAAAAATAAAAGAAAAAAAATAAAAAAAAATAAAAACAAATAAATTATTAATATTTATTTATTTTAGGTCCAGGTTTTTTCTTGGGAAAGATTTAAATTATTAATTTATTTTATTTTTATTTTATTATTTTTTTCTTTTTATAGCGTTTTTTTAAAAACATTAAAAAAAATACCAACTAATTTAAATTTTTTAATTTATTTTCCATTCCTTGAATCATCTTTATTTGTTCTTTCTTTTTATATAAATGATAGGATACTGAAACTACAACAATTGCGACAAATGCAACACAACCAATTACAATGCCTGCAATTTTGGTACCCGATAGTTTATTATTTGATTTGCAAATGGATTTTGAATTTGAGACAGAGTTACCATTAAGCAATACTGAAAAGTCTGGGTCTAAATAAACTCTTTCATTAAAATAATTAACATTTATTCCAACGTATGATTGGGATTTTGAATTTGTTTGAATTGAATTTAAATCAGAATCTAAAAGTGTGTTGGTTACTGGTGAAATCTTTGAGTCTATTATACCCCTTTTGATAAATCTGCCATACAATGAAACTTTATCTATTTGAATTTTAATATAATCAGAGTTGTCACCTGTACTTGTTTCACCAAAATCTTTTTCTGAGCATGATCCATCATTATTTGATTCTAATTCAGCAGATAAAATAAGTTGCAAATGGTTTAGTGGACTTTCGAAGGGATATTTTTTAATTTCGATTGTATATTTCAAAGATGAGGGATTCATTATAAGATTTTGATTTGCAAATGAAATGTTTGTCATCTTTTCAAACCATTGAATCGTTGTTGTTATATTCACTATATTACCGAGTATTGTTTTATATTCACTGGTGGAGTTGTTAATTTTTGTATAGTTCCATTTGTCAAAACTGAAGATTTTGAGTGGTTTACCATCAATTCCTATTTCTCTTATTGAGTGCAAAGTTATTAATGACTTAAGAATAGAGTTGTTTTGCTCAATTGGAATTTCAATTGTTGGATTGGTTTCATTAGTTGATGGTTGTGGTATAATGATAATGGATGAGCTGCAGTCATTTCCAATATATGGTGAGTAGCAAATGCAACCACTACTTGCACAATATCCTTTTTCTTTACCCCCACATTGGTTTAAACATTCTTGAGGTTTGTTTGTTGGCAACTCTTCTTCACTTGAAGAGGGTTGGTTGTTTTTTTCAAAGTTAAATATAGTGGGAATGATAACATGTTGATTAGAAACAATTGAGTTATTTTTGAAGGTTGCTACAATTGAAAGCTGTCTTGATGTTGAGGGCATATTATAAAATACCATAGCTGATCTGAATCTTTTTTCTGGTAGGACAAATATAGTTTTACCTTCATATTGTATAGAAATACCAGTGTCTTCATTAAAACCTCTTCCATAAACAATTAATTTACCCCCGTTACTGGAATAGATACTTGTTCCTGTAATTACTTTGCTAATTGGATCAATGATGGAGGAGTAAAAATTATACTTGAAGCCATTGTGAATAAATTCTTTGGTACTATATCCCCTGTATTTACCACCATTATTTATAAACCCATATACTGAGAAAAAGTATTCGTTGGTTAAAACTTGGCCATAGGGCAAATCGATGTCGCAAGAAAATGATTGATGAGTGCCATTAGACCAAGAAATCGATGAAACACATTGAGTAACATGGTTTTGCAGGTTTATTAAGTATACAATCGGCATTTGATCTCTTTTAAACCCACTTAAGCTCGATGCAGAGAATTTAAATGAAAGCTTATTAGTTTTGATTTCTTGGGAATCAAATTCATACATGATGGGTGTTGTTGAGTCTATATAACCCCCACAATCGTATGTTTGTGTAAGAATCGTTGGATTTTTATCTACAAAGGCATTTAAGTTTTGAAAAGTATTTAAAGTTGGATCAAAGTTTGAATTGCTTGGTGATTTTGAAAATTGACTTTTAATGAATTGGTAGTCATTTAGTTCAATTGAATATATGGTGTAGGATTGGGTAAAGCATGGATCAGATGTTAAGTTGATAAAAATTTTGTACGTTCCATTCCATATGTCTCCTTTAATTAGTTCATTGTTTATTAAAGTAATATTATATACTGAGGAGTCAATATCCCCTCTGATTTGGAAATGACCATTTAAAAAACCATTAATAGGGTCACTTATTACTATTTCCCACCCAATACCCATATTTTCGACAGTGAAAGGTTTAATACTAGTTATTATTGGACCTAATACATCTACATCTATAGAGAAATGGTTAGTAAAAATTTTTAAAAATTATTTTAAAATAAAAATACGAACTTTTTGATGTAACTCTAAGTTGCTGATCATCTTGTAAAAATTGGGAGTGAATATAGTCACCAGTTGGTGACATTATTGTAAATGGTATAATGCCGCTGGGTGCATTTGCTGGTACAAAAAACTCTATTTGGAATTGGTTTAGTGAATTATTCCATGATGAATAATAACTTTTTTGCATTGGGCTGTTTGTGTTGTTTGATTCATATGACCTATAGATACTAACTTCATCTAAAAGATTTAGTTTTAAAGCTACATTGTTTGGTGCTCCTTTGATAGAAAAAAACATTTTGTTTGCAACAGTTGTGTTCGAGATGTCTAGGTCGTTGTGTAAAAAAGTAATATTGTTAATTGCAAAAACATTGGTTAAAGAAAAATTGAAAGTAGTTATTTTTTTGTGTAAATCAATTTCATAATAGTCATTTATGTTGTATTTTTTATTATGTCCATATTGGCCAATCAGGGTTATGCTTGTTAATGGTTCATCTAAATTATGTATAATTTCATATGTGGGAAAATCGCTGCCTCCTTCAACCAATCTTTCGAATGTATAGAATTTATTTTCGTTGATTTGGACTCCACCTACTTGGGTATTATCTTTAACAAAAATGGTTAATATAATAAAAAAATCATCTAGGTAATCAATTTTATAGTCTAAAAGTTGTGGGGGATCTTTGGTTACTATTTAAAATAATAAGTTAGAATATTTTTTTTTACATTTAAATTAGGAGAAAATATTTACTTGCAAAGGAATTCACATCAATTTTTTCGTACAGGGTTGGGTTTTTTTCTGGATTAACTGATAAAAAAATAGATTCGGGTGTTGATTCGGAATAGGGAGGTATAAAAATTGAAAATTCAAAGCTATATTGTCCATTGCTACCAGATGAAAAACCTAATGGCCATTGGGTTTCCATTTTAAATATTTTACGAGACAAAAAAAAGTTACCAAAGTTGTAATTAAAATAGTTTTCATTATTAAATGTTATTGTAACCATTTTACTAAATTGTAGGTTGGTGACACTATATTCAATCTCTTGAATTTTATTTAATGCAGTATTTTCTAAAAAATTGAAATAGAGTTATTTTTTTAAAAATATTTATTATGAGTATTATTTAATATGGAAATGGTTTTAAATTCCAATCCAAAAAAGGAGTAATTTTATCTTAAATATTTACCATTTAAAATTGATGTATATTGAATACTATCTAACTGGCCGCCGTTTTGATATGATACTGTATAAAGAGAAGGTCTTTTAAATGAGGATATATACTGAAAATCCTTATTATCCCCACCATATATTATTCTAGGGTTTTCAAAACCAGTTGATTCTTTACTTTCAATATAGGGAAATCTTGAATTAGATTTGATGGTAAAAAATCCAATAGGAAAACATTGTTTACCAAATATATTAAAAGGGACCTCGTTATAATCTAAAAAAGAATTAACCAAGTTTTTTTTTTCGACTTAATGTGTGAAATGATATTAGTAAATTTATTTTAAAAATTCAAAAAAAATAAAATAAACAAACAAAAATAAAAATAAAAAAATAAATAATAATTACCATCTAAAAACTTTTTTAAGGTTACTACTACGTCTTTTAATCCACCACTATATACTTTAATAGTAATATTGAGGCCCTCAAAAAGGTTAAAATCGTTATCTGTTGATCTAATATAATAAATATTAGTTGAGGTTTTATCTACTTGGTAATTTTCATTTGAAATAGCAATATTATTTAATGGGAGCTCTAATAGAGGGAAAGATAGTATATAGTATGGTATACTATTTGATTTTTCTCTATCTGGATAGAGCAAAGAATATTCTAATATATTATTTAAATCTATTTCTGAATAAAAAAATAATTGGTAAATATTTAAAATTATAAAGGAGCTAATCGAATACTACTTACCATTACACCCCAAAAAAAGTGTTTGTGATATAAAAAAAGAGTTAATTGAAAAAATTAATTCAATATCATGTGAACCAAAGGGGATATTTTTGATATTAACAAAATAAATTGCTGTCGTTTGGTTGTTGATATTTGAATTAGAATTTATTAAAGCATTTGGAAAAGATGTTGAAATTTGAATTGTATTTATATAACCAGTATCTACGCCTATTAAAAAACTAAATTGGTATTCACATTTTTCTTGATCAGAATATTCTGGATATTTGTTAAAGATTCCATCGATTAATTCTACATCTAATGTAGTCTGTGATTTTATATATTGTGTTAAAGTTATAATAACAATAAAAAATATTAATATTTTTTTAAAATTCATTATTTTATTTGGACAGAATAAAAAATAAAAATTACAAAAAAATATGATGTGTGTTTTAAAAAGATGTGTTTAAAATTGTATAACAAATATATAAATAAAAAATAAAATAAAAAAAAATTAAAAATGGAGTGTTAATTGGATATTTATAAATATCTATCAACAAATTCCCAATGATATTTTAAAAAATTTGTCGGTTTGTATAAAAAAAAATAATTGTTCCCTAAAAATAGGATGAAAAATAAAAAAAAATAATAAAAAAATATACATAATTATTATTTTACAAAAAATATCATTAAAGGATCGCTTTAATGATCATATAATCTATTCTTGCTTTTTTTCTTTATTTTTATTTTATTTTTATTTTAAAAGTGTATTTTTTTCTTTTTTCTTTTTTCTTTTTTTATTAATTAATTGTTAAATCACTTAAACTTAATTCCTTGCTATTATGATTATAGTAAAATTCATTATCGTCACTAATATCTTGAGTTTCATCGTCATCATTAAAATTATTTGTGTTATAAGTTTCTTCATCTACTTCAAATTCGTTTGGTTCGTTATTTAGTGGTGCTTGGTGTAGTATCTGTTGTTTTTGTTGATAGTATTGATGGCTGTAATGATGATGTTGATGATATGATGATGGTGATGATAGGGGTGAGTTTGTTTGTTGCTGTTGTTTAATATAGTTTGAATTAAAAAATATTGGATCAGAGTCTCTTAATTTATTTTTATCTATTGAAGAGGTTGATTGTGATTTATTTGGTATTGATCTTTTCTTTGTCGAAAATAGCTGATTATCATGTTTTGAGGGTGTTGAGCTATTTGATGATAAAGAGGAGGTGGATGAGGTTGGAGAAATTGATGGCTGAGTTGTTATAAGTTGAATTGATTTATTTACTTGAAGTGATAATAATGTCGATTTTAATGGATTTCCATATAATTGAACACGTGTAAGTAAAGGATAAGATGTGTGATAAAGATTACCAATACTATATAAATTTGAAATAAAGTTATTGCATAGTGAAAGTTCAATTAACGATTTAAATACACCACCTATTGGCAATATTCTATCCCATTGATTATTATTTAAATTTAATAGTCTTAAACTAAGGTTTTAAAGTAAATAAATTAGTGTGTGTTTTTAAAATTGGGTATTAATTTTTTTAGATTAAAAAATAATTACTTTGGGATAGTTGATAAACTTTGTAAAGTTGATGTTTTTAAAGATAAATGGCAGCTTTCAAGATATAATGTCTCTAGTGCTTGTAACGAGGACATATCTTCTGGGAGTGTAATGATTTCATTAAATGATAAATTCAAACATAAAAGTTTTTCTAGTTTTAGTAAATGATGAATACTCTTTGAATTTATTAAATTGTTTGATAAATCTAATTTCTAAAAATAAAAAAAAGGGAATAGTTAATAAAAAGATTCTTTAGCAATTATCAAATTTAATAAATACTGTTAAACATTTAAAACCACTATTAAATTGTAAATTTTCGATTTGGTTATTTGATAAATATAATTCACATAAATTTGGTATGATTGAAAAGGGACTAAATCTATAGTTAAACATTTAATTAGAATTTTTATGTAATCTTTACCATTGTTGTATAAATAACTTACTGTACAAAATTATTATTTAAATCAATATAAATTAATTTATCAAACAATTCAAATTTTTCATTATTAACAGATTTTATATTTGAACTTGATAATTCTAATGCTATAATACTTGATATATCTTGACCATATGTTGTCTAAAGAATATGTTAAAAAATATTAGTAAATTAATTAAATATACGAATTATTTTATTATTATCTTACAATAAAAGAATAATCCATTAAAATTGATTTTTGTGGATAACCACAAAATGAAGGTGCCTTTTTAATTTTTGATCTTATGGGTGTTGAGTTTATATTTGTACCTAATACATTATTCGATTTTTGTAATTGCTTTTGTTGCTGCTGCTGGTGAAGAAGATGTTGTAAATGTGGCGGTGGAGATGGTGAAATTTGAATCTGTAATGATGATGTTGGGGATGATGCTAATGTTGAAAAAGTTAAAGGTGATGATGAAACACCAATACTATTAGCACTACCACCACTGCTAATACTTTGGGTGTATAATGATGAAATATTATTGTTATTGTTATTGTTATTATTATTATTAGGGAAAGGTTGATGATTAGGTGTAAACATTATTGAGCTATTTGAAATTGATCTTTTTAAGGGGGTATTTATTAAATTGTTTGGTGATGTAGATATTGGAGGTAGAGCACCTGTGGTTCTGTATGCCATTGGACTACTTGAATATTGACTATTGTTATATTCGCCTATATGTAATAAATTATTTGTACTAGTGCTACTACCCAAACTGCCTGTGCTATTATATAGTGGATTTATATTTAAATGAGATGTGGGTGATATTCTACTATTATTATTATTATCAAACAACATATTGGAAGGTGTTGGGGGAGTATATGATTTTCGTCGTAGGGAAGTTAAAGAGGGAATAGGTGATTGTGGTTGCTGTTGGTGATATTGTGGATACTGAAATGATTGTGGAGTTGGTGAGTTTGAGGGTGAGTATTGAGTTGATGATAATGAAGATATAGATTGTGTTGGTGATGATGCTACAACTCTTTGTTGCAATTTTTTTTTACTGCTCGATCTACTATGATATTTCTTTAACTCTAAACTCATGTGGTGGTCATTACTGATATCACTTTCATTGTCGGCATCTTCGTCATTTTCTCTTTGTTCAATTGATGATATCATTGAATCTATATTTGGTGTATTATTTTTTTTATTTTTATTTTTTTGTTTATTATTAGTTTGTACATTAATATTTTCAATAGTTTCAGTATAATTATACATTGAAATTTATCTATCTATCTATCTATTTATTTATTATTTGTTTATTATTTATTTTATCTATTTAATATTATTGTTTAAATTGTTTATTATTTAATTTACATATATATATAATATTCTTTTTACTAATGTATGATTATATTTTTATTATTTAAACTTTTAATGAATAAAACAATGAAGTTAGTATCTATTCTAAAGTAATCAATTTGATAAGAGGGACTTAAACTTACTTTTTTCGTTGTAAAGAATATATGATACCTTATTCTATTAATGTTGTGATTTTTAGTTTTGGTCAACCTTTCTTTCGCTATTGCTTATATCTTCTTGATCTTCTTGCACCTACTTGCTACTTCTTTTGGAGCAGAACCTTTTTTAATAATACTACCTTAAAACTAAAAAAAAAAGTTTAAAAAAAAATGTAATTTTTTTTATTTTTTTATTTTTTTTTTTTATTATTTTTTTAAATATTTTTTAAAATATTTTTTTGTTATTATGAATGCAAATATTGATTATTATTAGAATTGAAACTATATTAATAAAAAAAAAAGAAAATAAAATATAATTGAAAAAATAATATCAAAAAAAGAAAAAAGAAAAAAGAAAAAAGAAATAAATAAACAAATTAAATAAAATAAAAAAAATTTTAAATTAAAAAAAATATTTGGTAGTAATTTGAATATCACACACACAATATAATTTGAAAAAAATTTATGATCAACCAATTGGTCACATTTTTTAATAAATAAAAGTTTTTAAAGATTGTTTATTATTATGTTTAGAATAAATTTTTTTTTTTGGAATTTAAAATAATAAATTTTGGGGTTACTATTTTATAATATATTACATGATGATGAGCTTTTCTTTTTTGGTTTAACGGCTGGATTAATTACAGAACGAATAGCTTCATCGAAAACAGCTTTAAGGCCTTTTTGGGTAAGAGCTGAACATTCAAGATATTTGACGGCATTTATTTCTTTCATTTTAGCAAGACCCATTTCATATGAAATTGATGTAAGTTTCTTTTCTTTTAATCTATCTAGAGTTTCTTTATCCTAATAATAATTTTAATAATAAAATGTAAGTATGGATAGATTTTTAAAATATGACAGTTATTTATACTTACCTCTCTCATATCAGACTATATATATTAAAATTTAGAATATGCAATATTAGTATTAATTTTAGCTTTTTATTTTATAAAGATCTTTATAAAATATACATACCTTAGTACCAACTAAAATGATTGGAACATTTGGAGCATGGTGGCAGATTTCTGGGTGCCACTTACCATTAACATTATCGAAGCTTGATGGAGAGATAATACTAAAACAAATTAAGAAAACATCAGTTTGTGGGTATGATAATGGACGAAGTCTAAAATAATAAAAATTAATTAATAAATTTATATTTTATATAAATTGGTTTCATTTTAAAAAATCTTTACCTATCATAATCTTCTTGACCTGCAGTATCCCATAATCCTAAATTTATTGGTTTTCCATCAACCATTACATTTGCACTATAATTATCGAATACGGTTGGGATATATTCGCCTGGAAAAGCATTTGTGGTATATGAAATTAAAAGGCAGGTTTTACCGACTGCACCATCACCAACAACTACACATTTAATAGCTATATAGATAAAAATTTAGAGTATTAGAAATTGCTAAAATTTTTAATAAAATAAAAAGATATTTTAAAAAAAATATTCATTGATGAATTTTTTTTTGTAAAATTTTACCTTGCCTGTAAAGATAATTAAAAAAAAATTTATAATTATTAGTATTTGTCAATAACATAAGACCATTAAAAACAAAAAAATGATTAAAAATAGATTATAGAAAAAAGAAAAAAGAAAATAGAAAATGAAACCTTTATTTTAAAATTATTATTTTAAAAAAAATATTTGTTTTATTTTATTTTTATTTTTTTTTTAAATAATGATAATGATTATTATGTACAATATATAAGTTTTTTTTAATATTTACATTTTGTTTTTTTAAAAATAATGATGTATGAATTAATTGATATTGATAATAAAAAATTATTATTGGTTTAAAATAAAATATAAAATTTGATTTAAAATTATAAATCTATAAAAATAAAAAAAATAAAGATTACTAATAGTTAATATGGTGGGTGCTTGATATTATTATTATTATATAACTAATCAAATATTTAGCCCACTTTTTATTTTATATATTGGGAAAGAAAATAAATATTATTAAAAAAAAAACTTTTATTTTAATAATTAATCTTTTTTATTATTTGTTTACTGTTTTTGTTTTAATATAATGAGAATAATAAAAAAAAAAAATAAAAAAATATTTATAATAAAAAAAAAATAAAAATAAATCGATGGTTTTTTTAATATAATAATATTTTATAATAAAAAAAAAATTATAATTTTTTTAATTGAAAATTTTTAAAATTTTTTTTTTAAATTAATATTTTAAATTTTTCTAAAAATAGTTTTTTTATATAATTGCATAACTGGAATTATTTTCATCAATTATTTTTTACCATTTTTTATTATTTTAATATTTCATAGATTTTAAAATAGTTTTTCTATATTTATTATTATTATTTTTAAAATCAGGTAATCAATCCTCCACAGGGTTGTTTGGCGGGTAAATTCTTAAATTATTTAAAGGGCATTCGTTAATCAATCAAGATATCTAATTTCTATTTGTTGTTAATATAATAAAATGGGTAATAATTTTAATTATTGCATATATTTTTTTTATTTCTATATTTTTTTTAATTTTTTTATTTTATTATTTTATTTTGTTGAATTATAATAATGTTGATAATTTGTTGTTGATACGATGATGATGACAGTGAATTGACTAATTTGAGTAAATTTATTATTTATATATATATTTTATTTTTATAATGATAATTTTTCACCAAAAGATTGTTCAATTGATGCTGATAATTGATTTTTACTACCAGTAGCAGTTTTGGGGATGGCACATGATTCATCGAAACTATAGAGTACTTCAGAAACATCTCTACGACGATCGAAACCAGAGCTAAAAGAAACTAATTTTTCATTTTGTGGGGAAGCTTGACGAGATTCTAATGGAGCATAGGTTAAACCTCTACGACCCAAATAAACTTGACGTGGTCTAAAGATACGTAATTCTGGATCAGATAAACCTTCAACCCAATGAGCTAACCAACCAGCGGCTCTTGGGATTGAGAATAAAACTGGGAACATATCAGTTGGGAAACCCATACTCTTGTAAATGATACCACTGTAGAAATCGACATTTGGATATAATTGTCTATCGATGAAATAACTGTCACTGAGAGCAAGACGTTCTAATTCTACAGCGATTTTCATTAATGGGTTCATACCTAAAAGGTCAAAGATTTCTTGGGTGACTTTCTTTAAGATTTTAGCACGTGGATCATATGATTTATATACACGATGACCAAAGCCCATAAGACGTTGCTTCTTTTGTTTAACCAAAGATAAAAAGTTTGGAATATTTTCAACGGTTCCGATTGCTTCTAACATTCTGAGAACTGCTTCTGTAGCACCACCATGTAATGGACCATAAAGTGCACTTGCAGCACCTGCAACAGCTGTATATGGGTCGACCAATGTACTTGAAATCTGTCTCATTGTTGCAGTTGAACAATTTAATTCATGATCAGCATGGATAATAAATAACTTATCTAATGCTCTGGTTAATGTTGGATGTGGTTTGTAATTGGTTTCTGATAAACGATCTAACATATATAAAAAGTTTTCTGTATAGGTAAATGTATTTAATGGGTCATTATATGGTCTAAACAGATTTTATAAAGAAAGTCATTAATAAATTTAATAAATTTTATAAAAATATTTTATTAATATTTTAATATTTACCTTCCAATTCTATGACGATAAGCACATGCAGCAATAGTTGGTAATTTACCTAAAATTCTAAATATTTGTTTATTCATTAATTGTTTATTTTTATAAATATCTACACCTGCTAATGATGGATTGGCATCTGGATAAAATGTTGACATTGCACTCATTGTTGAAATGAGCATACCCATTGGATGGGCATCATAACGAAAACCTTTCATCATACTAATTAAATTTTCATGAATAAATGTGTGATTCATAATTTTAGTTTGCCATACATTTAATTGTTCCTAATTTTAATTTTAATATAAAATATTAGTAATTTATATAAAAAAAAACAATTGTAATAATAAATATACCTACTCTGTTTGGTAAATCTCCATAAATTAATAAATATCCAACTTCTAAAAATGATGATTTTTCTGCTAACTCTTCAATTGGATAACCTCTATATTCTAAAATACCTCTATCACCATCGATATATGTGATTTGTGATTTACAAACTGCAGTATTATAATATCCTGGATCGTAAATCCTAATAGTTGAATTTAAATTTTTTATTAGTGTCAGTATTAACAATTTTTTATTTATTTTTTTTGATGATCTTTTTTTAAATAGATCATTTTTGATCTGTTTAAAACAAATACAAACATTGTACCGAAATCTGACTGTTGTTCTTTAAATTGACGGAAATCAATTGACTTTACAGTTTCATTTGTGATTGGAATTTCGAATGATTTACCTGTTCTATTATCGATAACTGTAAAAGTATTTTTTTTACCTTCCTCTTTTTTTTGTTGTTCTACCGGTGAACTCATTTTTATTTTATATTATATTATGATATTATTTATTTTTTATAAAAAAATAAAAAAAAAAGCAAATATTGGGTATTGGGTTTATAGAAATATACAATTACAAGCAAAACACTGATAAAATAAAAAAAATAAAAAAATAAAAAAATGAAAAAATTTTAAAATTTTTTAAATTTCTTTTTTTTATATTTTTTTTTTGAAAAATAGATTTTTTTTTTTTTTTAATTTATTTATTTTATTTTTTTTTAATTTATCGTCATATTTTGATATAAAAAGTATATTTATTATATAATAATTTACATTTCATTCTTTCGACACCTCTATATAATATTTATCGTATATCTTATTAAAAAATTAAAATAAATAAAAAAAAATAAAATTTATTATAATAATCACAATCCCAATAAAATAATCTATTAAATAAATATAGTATGTGGTAATAATATTTATAATAAAATGAAAGAAAAAAAAAAGAAATAGAAGAAATAAAAGAAATAGATAAATAAAGAAAAAAGAAATGTTCAATTTAACCATTCTCACACATCAACAAAATTCCAATATGACCAGGGAAAAAAAAAATTTTAAATAAGAAATAATTTATTTTCAAAAACTATCATTATTCATTATTTATTTTTTATTTTTTTAATTTATTATTGTTATTAAAAAGAATATGGTGCATCTTGATTTATAATTATTTTTTCATTACATCCTCAGTATATTGGTACTCTACTGTTGATTTAAAAAATAAAATAAAATTGATTCAAATAAAATGGTTTTTTATATAATTATTTCATTCATTAGTTTATATAAAGCTTGTTTGTTACTTTTTTTTTAAAAAAAATATAATTTTTAATTAAAAAAAATAAAAAAAAAAACTTTTCCTATTTAAGATTTAAAATATTTTTAATTTTCTTTTTTATTTGAATTTATATTCAGCAGATCCAAACAACTTAAAAAAAAAAAATTAGAATTTGAACTTGATAAAATAAAAAAGAAATGGTGGGTTTTCAAAAAATTAATTTTTTTTTGGTGTGGTTAATCAATTTTTTTTTTGTGTGTAAAAATAAATAATTGTTAATATTATGGTAAATTAATTTTTTAAAAAAAGGAATATCCTTAAATTTAAAGACATATTATAAAACTGATAAGTTTTATTTATCGATTTTATATTTTATTCTATTACTTTTATTATTATTAAAATGACATAATATTTTGATTTCTACTTTTTACAATAACTATTTACACCATCATTCCATAAGGTCCATGTTTTTTTATACAAGTCCCCATAAGAAATAACATTGGCGCTATTTTCGTGTTCATTCCATGGCTTCCAGGTTGACCAATGGAAAAGTGGTGCTTTTTCCCATGTTGCAAAATAGTCATCTCCTAACCAATGTCTTTCTCTGGTTGAAAATTCACCATGTAATAAACCATAAATACCTGGTAACATAATAAAATCTGGACTATTTTTGAACATATCGTTAATAATATCCATATCCCAACTATTACCACTATTATGCTTGTTACCATAGGAGATGATATCGTCATATAACTTATAGGATGGTTTAATTACCATTAATAAAGATGTGGCGAATGGTTGACCTAACCAATAAGCTCTTGGTAATGCTAAAGTTGCATCTGGTAATTCGAAAAGATGATCCAAGCTCTTTAATAAATATGTATCTGCATCTAAATGAACAACTCTTTTATAATCGATTAATTTGAATACATAAAATTTGTTCCATGTTTGCTCCCAAGTGCTTCCCATGTTTCCATTTTTTGGTAATACATTCTTGACAAATCTAAAATAAACATTTGGTATATCCATAAAATTCTTCATAATAACTTCATTATATTGGTACTCTATTAAATGAACTACTATATCATTTGTACTCCACTTTCTAATATTGTTAGCAGTTATTAAGGCAGCACAAAGATAATTGTCTTTGGTGATATAGAACGAATATGCAAATTCACTTCTTAAACCATCATTATTTAAACCTTCTACCTCTTTTAAATAGTATACTGGACCGTTTGTTTTTTTTTCAATTCGTTTAGAGGTGGCAGTAGGGGTGGTGGTTGGTTGTTCTTCTTTTACCGGGTTTTCTGTTTGTTTTGGTGAATACCTTGTTGGAGATTCAGTGACTTTATTTTCTGGTTGAGTTTTATTTAATTGAAATGACTCGAGCGGTATTAATAAATAAAGTGTTACACCGATTATAAAAAAAGTTATTATTATTATAAATTCTTTTTTTATTTGCACCATTTTATTGAAGAAAAATTAAATAAAAAATAAAAAAGTTTCTTTTTTTAATTTTTTTTTTTTATTTTTTTTTTTTTATTTTCAAAAATAATTTAAAATAAATTTATATAATTATTTTTTTGTGTTAAGAAAAAAAGGAAGAGAAATGATAAAATCGGTTAAAAAGATATAAATAAAAAAATTACTTAATATTTAAAAAATAAAAAAAAAAAAAAAAAAAAAAAAAAAAAAAAACCGTCAGCATAACACGACACACTTTTTTTTTTTTATGGTTTTAAAATTTTCTTTTGAAAATATTTTCCTTTATTTTACACAAATATGTTTTCTTTTTTGATGAATTTAGAATACCACTTTTCTTCAGATGTTTAAGCTTATAGATTGCTTTTTCAATCGAATTTTGAAAAACAAAATTTTTTACAAATAATAATATAAATATAACAGTAATAATGTTAACAATGGCAATATGACGTGTAATGATAATAATCACAGTCCCAAATAAATTATAATAATCAAAATTATAATAATACTAATATCAATATTATATTACATTATATTTTTTTTTATATTTTTATTTTTTTAAAAAAAAAAAAATATTAAATTTTTGATTTTTTAAAAATTTTTTTTTTTTTTTAATATTTTAAAACAGATACAAATTCGAATGGTAATAATTTTATTTTTGATTATTATATAATAATTATATTTGTTTAATAGTTTTTAAATAAATGTTTATAGATAGATAAATAAATAAAATAACAATAAAATAAAACAAAATAAAATAAATAAAAAAAAACATATTAATTAATCGATTAATTTAAATTTAGTCTCAAACAAAATCACAACAACATGTTAAAAAGCCACCATTCTATATGAATTTAGTTGCAGGTGCAGTTGCAGGTGTTATTGGTGCCTCAACAGTATTTCCAATTGATATGGTTAAAACAAGATTACAAAATCAAAAGATCTCGGTTGATGGTACAAAACAATATAATGGTGTTTTAGACTGTTTTAGAAAAATAATTAAAGCCGAAGGTGGTAAAGGTTTATATAGGGGTTTATCAGCAAATTTAGTTGGTATCATTCCAGAAAAAGCATTAAAGCTTGCTGTAAATGATTTACTTAGAACTATGTTACAAGGTGATAATCCAACCATTACAATTCCACAAGAGGTATTAGCTGGTGCTGGTGCTGGTTTTTGTCAAGTTGTTGCCACTAACCCAATGGAAATAGTAAATATTAAAAATATTAATGGATAAATAATAATCATAATAATCATAATAGTCATAATAATCATAATCACAATTACAATGATAATAACAATATTTATTCAAATTTATTTAGGTTAAAATTAATATGCAAGTTAGTGGATTAAGTGGTAAAAAAGCATCCTTAAAGGAAATTGTTAGCGAATTAGGTTTAAAGGGATTATATAAAGGTACAGCTAGTACATTGTTAAGAGATGTACCATTCTCTATGGTTTATTTCTCAATGTATGGTAGAATAAAACAAAATCTTACAAGCGAAAATGGTGAGATTGGTCTCGGTAGAATTCTTTTGGCAGGTATTACAGCAGGTACATTCGCTGCATCAGTTTCAACCCCAATGGACGTAATTAAAACTAGAATTCAAGTTAAACCAAGACCAGGCGAACCAACATATACCGGCATTATGGATTGTATTAATAAAACTTTAAAAAATGAAGGCCCAAGGGCTTTTGCAAAAGGTTTAGTACCAAGAATTTTAATTATCTCCCCATTATTTGGCATCACTTTAGTTTGTTACGAAATCCAAAAGAAATTCTTTGCTCATTAAACCAAAACAAAATAAAATAAAACCAAATTAAATAAATAAAAAAAAAGGTAAAAAAACAGATTTGTTAATAAAATTTTTTTATATGTTTATTATGAATTTTTCTTTTTTATTTTGTTTGGTATATTGTGATATGCAATATTTGTTTAAAATAAGCTATCATATAAATATATTATATTATTGTATGTTTATTTGATGATAATCTTTCACTTATGAAATAAATTACATCTTTGCTTTCCCAATATGATTTGTGAGCGATTGGTACCGAACTATAATCTGAAAAACTTAAAATACCATTTGGTTTTAATTTAAAGTCAAATCTATGACCACCAAAGAATTGTTTATTTGACGATAATGGAGTTGATGAATTGGTTTGTGTGGCAGTGGTATTGGTTATGATGTTTGATTCTTTTTGTGGTGTTTGGTTATTATTATTAATTTGATTTGGTAATAATGGTAATGGTTTATTTGGTGTTGAAATTGCTCCACTATTATCATCTGATTTCTTTGAAGGTGTTGTACTGCCATCAGTATTAAAGCTAAAATTATTTAAACTATTGATATATTCCATATTATATGAGGATGTATTTGATTTTTCACTTTTTTCACTTAGGTCATCATCATTAAACTCAGTATCTGAAATATTGGTATAGCTATTAAAGCTTTGATTTCTTTTCATAGATGCACCGTCGAAAGATGCCATCTCTGTTTCTTCTGAAATCTGCTTTGTTGTTGATTTGGGTACTGGTTCTTGGCCTGTTAGCTGTTGAATAGAGTTATTACCTGTTGCTGGGGTCTTTGTCATTGATGATTTAAATGATGATAGTTTGCTTGAAAATTTTGAAAACATACTTGTATTATTATTATTATTATTATTATTGTTATTATTGATGCTATTATTTATATTATTATTGTTGTTATTATTATTATTATTATTATTATTATTATTATTATTATTATTATTATTATTATTATTATTGATATTATTATTAATATTACTATTACTATTATTATTATTGTTGTTGTTGTTGTTGTTGTTGTTATTATTGATATTATTATTAACATTGGTATTATTGGTATTATTTACATTATTAGAACTACTAGCGTTAATATTATTATTACTATTTAATGGTTCCATTGGTTTACTGGTTGATAGATATTTTTTCTTGGTGCCAAAGTGTGGTGCTATTGATTCTGGAAGATTACTAAACCCATCATCTATTAATGGTTCAATTAATGAAGCGACAGGGTCAGATTGATCATAAATATTGTATAAATTTACACACTTGGGAATATCAAGCGACTGGTGACCTCTAACTGTACATAAAATACCAATTGGTGAACCAATACAATATAAATTATATACATCGAAATCTAATTTTGGGAAGTTTATATCTGGTAGAAATTTACTAAAATCTTTTTCTCCGTCAACCTCTTCATTAAAAACATCGTTATCTTCCTCGCTCGAGGAACTGTCATCATTATTGTTGTTTATATTTGTATTTGTATTTGTATTTGTGTTTGTATTGGAATTTGTTGAATTTGTATTGCTTTGTTGCTTTAGTTTTTGTTTTCTTAATTTCTTCCAATAGTTTATGTTACCCTCTTCAAAGTCTTCATCATAATAGCTGTTAAGGTCCTCTGTAGCCAAATTTCCATTATTATTATTATTGTTTTGATGGCATAAGATATCATAACTGATCATACTGCCCAAAGAATGAGCTAAAATTGAAACTTTTCCTTTAAAGGTTGGATTTTTTTTTTTGAATTCTTTATATAGTTGATTTAACTTTGTACCAACCTCGGTATAAATATGCTGACTAAAAGTTGGACTTGTAAAAAATAGGATATCTAGCAATGTATGGTTGATTAATTCACGTACAACTGGAATTGTTTTGGGTGTAACCTTCTTTACAAATTGGTCAGTGGTTTTGTGTACACCACTGTGCCATTCTAAACCAATAAACACAACATTCTTATTCTTTTCTGTAATTTTTGTAATATTTTGATATATTTGGTTTATACGTATTATTTTCTCTGTCCACTTTTCTTCGTGTTTACCAATACCATGTATTACAAAAATAACATGGTCTATAATTTGATTGGATGCTATAATCTGACTACTATTATTATTATTGTTATTATTATTATTATTATTATTATTATTATTACTGTTTAAACTCACTGGCTCACTAAGGTCACCATTATTAATACTAATATAGTTCATTTATTATACTTCTACTATTAATTTAATAATTTAATAATTTAAAAATTTAATATTTTTCTTATTATTATTAAATTAAAAAATTATATTCTTTTTTTTTTTTATTTTTTTATTTTTTATTTTTTTTGTGTTTATGTAATTATTATTATTTTTTATTTTATAATTGTTTGTAATTTTTGTGTGATATAAAAAAAAAAATAAAAAAAAAGAGTATGAAAAAAACAAAAAAAAAAAAATTAATAAAAAAATAAAAAATTTTAAACGATTAATTTTTTTTAATTTTTTTTTATTAATTTATATTTTTTTTTATTGAAACCAGATATTTTTTAATTTGTGATGCAATATTGGCTTAATGATTACATCATAATGTCAATGATTAATAAATATTAAATTTTTAAAGTTTATTTTATTTATATTTATATTTTATAATTAAATAATAGTTTTTTTTTTTTTTTTAATGGAAATTTTTTTTTTTCTCGATATGTAAAGTTTTTTTAAATACGATTTTGATATGTACCAGCTTTGGTTAAATATCTAACCCACTTGATTGGAGTGTAATTACTTTTTTCGACAACTTTTAAAAATCTAACATGGAAACCAGAGCTAAAAAAAAAAAAAAAAAAAAAAAAAAAAAAAAATTAATATTTTGATTTTATCCATTGAAGAAAACAAAAAATAATAACTTACGCAGTAAACATTGTTACTTGGAATTCCATTGAAATTGGTGGTCTGGACCATGCCTTCTTATCTAAATTAACAGAGGCCATTAATTCAACTTCAGCTCTTAAAGTGAACTCAGTATCACCAGGGAATCTTCTTATTCTCCAAATAATAGCATCTTGCTCTGGCATATATTTGGCTTTACCAGCAGCAACGACAATTTTACATACAGCTGTGTTTTTTGGTGTGGGGATGATTACTTTAACGTTTGCACCAAACATTTTACTACTGAAATTTGATTTGACTGTTACAGAGCACTCTAAACGAGTTCTACCCATTTCTCTAACAATTGGAATGACTTTGAATGGAAGATTAATGTGCTCAGTAGTACGATATCTCATTAGTTCAAATTCACCATCTGGTGGAATGAAACTAACTGTACGATCGCTATCGAACTTACCTAAACGTACACATTGATGGAATGTGATATCGTCGATTTCAATACCATTAGCACGACGTGCTCCACTTCTTGCTGCACCTTGTGTCTTTTCTTTATCCATAATAACTTTATCGTTCATTCCAAATTTACATTCTGGCATACCAGATAAATAACATTTCATCATAACCTGTCCTGATACATCTGCTCTAAGTATATTACCCTCAGCTGACATTAATAAATTTACACTTTCTACAACATCAATATAAAGTTCGTTTCTTTTGTATTTAATATCTGGAGTTCTCCATGGTGTTGTACCTGTAGCTTGAATTGTAATTTTAGAAATTTTATCTTGTTTTAACTATGATTTTTTGGTTGGTTAGTAATTGGTGGTATATATAACTTATTTAATATATAGAATACTTACTTTGTCAAGTGATTTTAATTTACCTTGTCCCTGAGTAATATAAAGTTTTAATACATCAGTTGAACAATTTTGTGGGTAACCAAAATCCAATATTTCTAAATTTTAAAAAAAAAAAAATTAGTAAAAAAAAAAAATTTTGAATTATCACATGTTTATTATTACCATCTAATAACTCATAAACCAAAACAAAATTATTTCTAATTGAATCTTCATCAATTGTATCGAAATAGGATTTGAAAATATCTACTAATTGATGTAAAACCTCGAATACCATGCATGCATTTACATTTTGTCTTGATACACCCACAATATAGATATTACCAACCTTAATATACATAAATGATGTTGAACCGATCAATTTAACTGGTGATCTAGTTTCCTGTGATCCAATAACTTCGAGTCTAAATGCATTTGCAACACCACGACTATATTTTATAAAAAAAATTATTTTTTTTTATGAATAAAATTAAAAATTAAAATTATTATTTATTTTATTTGGTTATTATATTTGGTAATTGTTTATTTAGTTATTATTATATTTACCTGATATCATCTCTGTAAATACGTGAAATAAGGACTTCACCCTTACCATTCATCAAAAACAATGCACTAATCATTTCTATATGTTTTATTTATTATATTTAATATACTACTTTTGGTTTAATCTAAAATCTACTACTACTCTTTTTTTTTTTAATTTTTTTTTTTAATATATATTACAACACACAAATTAATTTATTTTTTTTGAAAATAATAAAAAAAAAAAAAAAAAGTTAATATAAAAAAAAATTAAAAAAAATTTTTTAAAAAAAAAAAAAATAAAAAAAAATAAAAAAAAATAAATAAAAAAATAAAAAAAATAAAAATTATTTATTTGAATGATTGTTTTTTTTGGTTTAAAAAAAAAGTAAAAAAATTAAAAAAGGAATGTGTGAACTGAAACTATTCAAATAATTTTTTATAAACTTTTAAAGGAGTGATGATTTGATTTGAACCAATTAAAATTTGATGATTTGAATAGTCTTTAAATTGTTTAATCGATTTTTCGAAATGATCAGATAATTCTTTGATTTCTGTGAATGTTATACCACCCAATATATAGATAATTACTTTTCTACTATCGAATGGCTTATCTTTTTTCTTTTGTGACCTTGACATCCAACTTGTTTTACCCAATAAATATCCCACTAATGACGAAGAGCTAAACTTTTCGAAATCTTTGCTACCCTTGCTGTCAAATAGTGATTTAGCCAACTGGCTCAATAAGCTATTGTAGGTTGCACCAATTGAACCACCCTTAATTAATGATCTGTGATCTTGTAGGTACTTCTGTCTAATAATTGAAATCCTTTTTAACTTGAATAATATTGTATTTTTTAAGAAATTTTCAATTTCTTCTTCATCATCATCCAAGTTGTGAGTCCCGATGGTATTATTTAAAAACTGTAAAATTTCATCATCTTTCCTTTTGATTCCATTCAATATTTTCTTTTTTAAAGTTTTAACTAAACGGTCCTCATCTGATTCTGAAAAGACTGGTACCTTTTCTAATGTGCTTACTAAATTGAAATAATTTGGATCATTTTGAGGACGAGAGCTATTATTAAATAGTTGATCGAGATATTTTTGTGATATTTTTGATGTCAAACCTTTAATTGAATATGCTAATGTACATAATAAAAGTATCTCTTGAATTGAATAAAATTTATTTGGATCTTCGCCGCTGCTAATGGGTGTTTCAATGATATCACAAATTTGCGATAAAATTGATGGCTCCTCTTGATCCTCCTCGTCTGAGCCATCAGAATCGTTATCATCTTCCATTTCGTAACCTGCACTTAATAATAAAATCTTTTCGATTGATAATAAATTATCCCAATGGAAATTACTGTTTGATAATTTTAAAGTTTGGTCAATTGAACATACTGCACTAATAATTTCTTGATAACGATAAGTAAACTCGTGATCCTTTAGTACCTGTACCAACGACATTAACGATTGAATATTAACCGGTCCTGCGATTTTGGAAATATCAACACTAATGTTTTCTTTGGAGATTATTTCGACCAATTTTCTCTTCAATTGCATAATTGATTCTTTTAATGATTTTGTAATTAAACTATCCCATATTCTATCACCTCTCTTTTTGACGCCATTGGCACCATCCAAGAAACCACTACTATTGTTGATAGTTGATATAATCTCTGGGCATTGGTTCATTTTAAGTAATTTTGAATCGTTCATATTTAGTGAATCGTATATTATCGAAATATTATCTATTATTGGTTGTTGTGACTTGACACCATCATTATTATATTTGGTTGTAGTTGAATAATAGACTCTATCCATTGAATTTTCTAAATGAAGTGATGGTGATACCAAGTCCAATGTTCTATCAATTAAAATTAATGAAATTGGATGGTAATCTTCTAATTGTACACTTGATACCGCTGATAATGTTGATTGAATTTCGTTGGCTAAATAATTCGAAAATGGACCAATTGGGAAAATATTTAAGTCTTCGCCATTAACAGAACCCAATTTTAAATCATTTAAAAATGATAAAAATGAATGTATAGTTTTATGTACATCATCTTGAATGTTCTCTGGCATTTTACTTAATTTATATTCGCTTAACCTTTTTTAAAAAATAAATAAAAAAAATTTAGTTTAAAAAACATTTTAAATTTTTTAAAGATAAGAGACTAATCCACTTACTTTAAATCATTTATAAAATAATAGCTTGGGAAAAATGACTTTTGAATCGGTATTGTAAAAAAATTTGGGAACATTAAACTATAACATGTTGGAAAGTAAATAATTTGGCAAGAAATATCCGGTAATGCAATATCATCCTCCTCTGCACTATCTTCTTTTTCTTGATCACTATCTTTAGATTGTTTTTTTTTATTATTAAATACTGCCAACATTATTTTTTTATATTCCTCCCTATATTTATCATAAAGCTGTGCTTGTTTTTGTTGTGATTGTAATGGTTGTGATTGTTGTGATGGAGATTGTAAATTTTGTTGTTGTAGCTGTTGTTGATGTTGTTGTTTATTTAATGGTGACAATATATTTTGTTGAATTGAGGTTGGTATTGAAGAAACTGAAGTAATTGACGATTTTGGATGGGACATGTGTGCTAGCTCTGACATTGAGCAATATATTATTAAATTATTGATAGAGTATGTTTTTATTAATGATTTTATATGCTTTGAGTAATTCCATAAACAATCTGATATAAAAAATACTAATTTATTATTAACTTTATTAATTTCATCACCAGTTTCATATTCTCTACTATTAAATATTTGTCTTTGTTGTTTTAATTTCTCTTTGTCAATAGGTTCATTTGATTTTGCTATAAAAATTGATTTACTATCTCTTAATAACCTTGATATGCCAATAGTTTCGTCTATGCATTGAAAATAGTTTTCATCTAATGCTAAATGACTGTCTTTGATTTCATTCTCTAATAGTTTAAATCTATTTCTAAAACTATCTTTTAACTTAATATTATTACTTTCTGTAGTTGATGATGGGTCATCTATATTTTCTTCATCACTATATTGACTTTTATTCATTATTACAAAATTAATTTAATATTCTGCAATTTAAAAAATTTTGAAATAAAAAAAATTTAAAAATAAAAAAATTAAATTATTTTTGAAAAAAAAAAATTAATTATTTGTTTAAAAAAAAAAAAAAAAAAAAAAAAAAGAAAATTGTTACCTTTTAAATACTTTAATAATACTTAAAAGGTAACCATCTTTTTTGAAAAAATAAATAAATAAATTGAAAAAAAAAAAAAAATAAAAAAAAAAAAATAAATAAAAAAATAAATAAAAAAAAAGTATGTAATAAAATTACATAACAAGAAAAAAATAAACAAAAAAAAATATATAATAAAAATTATTTGTTTAAAATTTCAGCAGATTTTAAATTGGATTTAATTTGGGTTTAAAATGATAATTTTCTTGTATAATTAAAAAAGAAAAAAATTTGAAATTTTTTTTACAAAGACAAAAAATAGTGCGGAAAAGCTTAAGATAACGTAAAAGTTATGTAAAAACAATTATGTAATTCGAGACCCTCTCATATAAAAATTATTTTATAATTTTTTATAATTTTTTTTAAATTTTTTTTTTTTTTTTTTTTTTTGGCTGATATCAAAAAAAATTTGTTTCGCATCATTCTTTTTCTCTTAAACTATAGTTGACAATGGCTGAGTGGGTATCACACTTTATCGTTTTTTTATATGAGACATATAAAAAATAAAAAAAAAAAAATTAGAATTAAAGTAAACACAGTATATTTGATCAATAGTAATTTAAATTCCAGTAATAAATAAAAGTCACCAAATAAAATAACAAAAAAATAATAATCAAAAAAAAAAAAAAGAACAAATAATAAAAAATCGAAAAAAAATAAATAAAAAAAGTAAATAGCTGCAATAATAATAGATACAGACATAGTTAGGAAATCAATTTTTACAGAACTGTAAAGTCAAATCCAATTTGAAGAGTACAGCAAGAGAATTTTTTAAAACCGAAAATAAAAAAATAAAAGTTTATTGGATTAATTTTAGCATTTTATTTTAGATTTATTCATACAGTAAAATATTCAAAATAATAAAAGTTACAATATAAAAAGGAATAGAATTAATTACTTCACACACAGGAATGTAGCAATCAAAATAATACTATGTTGAAAAAATTTCAATTTTTTTTTACGAGACTCGTAAAAAATTCAAATTTTTTTTTTTTTTTTTTTTTATGCTCTAACGTAAAATTTTTATAAAAAAAAGAAAATAATAACTAATTTGTATATTTTTTTATTATAGTAAAAAAAAGAAGGGATCAAAAAAAGGTGGTAAAAAAATCGACCCATTCACCCGTAAAGAATGGTACACCGTCAGAGCTCCAGGCGCTTTCTTCAAATCAGGTGCTGATAACAAACTCGGTTTCACCCCAGTCAACCGTACCCAAGGTACCAAACTCGCCTCAGATGGCTTAAAAGGTCGTGTCTTTGAAGTTTCACTTGCTGATATGAAAGATGAAGAATCACAAGTTTACCGTAAAATCAAATTAAGAGCCGAAGATGTCGAAGGTCGTAACGTTTTAACCAACTTCTACGGTATGGATTTAACCACTGACAAATTACGTTCACTCATCCACAAATGGGCCAACCTCATTGAATGTTTCGTTGATGTCAAAACCACCGATGGTTACGTCTTAAGAGTCTTCTCCATTTGCTTCACCAAAAAGAATGAAGGTCAAAAGAAAAAGACTGCCTACGCCAAAACCAGTCGTATCAAGGCTATCAGAAAGAAGATGGTTGATATCATCACTGAAACCGTCTCAACCAATGATCTTAAGACCTGTGTCGAATACTTCATTGGTGGCCAAGTCACCGGTTCATCCACCGATCACGCTGGTCAATCACTCACTCTTACTGAAAAAATCAGAGTTGAAATCAGTTCACAATACCCATGTCACAACGTTTACTTACGTAAAGTTAAAGTCCTCAAAGCACCAAAAATGGACGCTGTTAAATTATCTGAAATTTACGCCTCAACTCCAATGACCTCCGCCCCAGTCGAAGAAACCGGTGTTGCTGTTGAAGAAGTCCAAGCTACTGCTTAAATATAAATAAACCAAAAAAAATTATATAAAAAAAAAATTTTAATACTGTTTTTATTTATATCTTATTTAAAATTTTCTTTTTTCATAAAAAAATAATTTTATAAACTTTTATTTCAACACAATTTTAATTTTTTTCATATATTTTTTTATCATTTTAACAATTAATTATTTTTTTTTTTTATTTGTCTAAATAATTTTTTTTTCGATAGGAATTAGGCGTTAAAAATCACTTATCATTATAATAATAATTTAGGGCGAATAACTTTAATGTTTTTTAATTATAAATAGATATTAAATTTAGATATCCCATTGCATTATTATTATTATTATTATAATACATCTACCAGAAATTTTTTATAATAAAAGTGGTTATAATGACCAATTCACACATTATTTCAATTCACCCACCCCCAAAAAAAAGTATTTTTACTTTTTTATAAATATTTTTCTATTTACAAATAATACTATGAGCAATTGTCAATCTGAATTTTATTTTACCCCCATTTTAACACACTCACTAATAAAATATATCTATAAATAATTAAAAAAAGTTCAAATAATCAAACTACAAATTTGTTTTGATATACAAATTAATTTAAATTAAAAAAATATTTTTAATTTAAAAAAAATTTGAAATAAAAATTTTACATTAACAAAGAATTTTTTTCATTTAGATTATTTATCTTTCTCCTAACAAAATGAAAAAAAATATATTGTTTTTATTTTGTCTCTTTTTATTGCAGGTTAGTTTTATCAGTATGTATTGTAGATATTAAGATAAAAAAAAAAAAATAATACTAATAAATATTAATTTATTTATAAATAATAAAGAGAGTCAAAACACAATCGATTTAACAGCAACTATATATGATCAGTCTCCACCAAGAAATCGTATGTATAAAAAATTAAAATTAAAAAAAATATTTATGTATATAATTAATTTAAAATTTATTATCACTTTAGCTGATTTCGAATTAAATCCATATAATAATGGTGTAGTTGAAGGTATAGTCCAACCAGATGTAGGTATATTATATTTTAGAAAATAATAAAAAGAAAAAAATTTAACATATTTTTTTACTATTTATAGTTAGGTTCAGATGGTACACCTGTGTAGGTATTAGAAAAAAATACGTAGTATTATAAATATTTTATTAATTTTCTTTTTTTATTTATCATTCTATTATAAATCTAGATATTGTTGGTAGGTATTTTTTATTTATAACAAAAAAGTTTAATAGTTTACTAATAATTTTTTCTCTTTTATTAGTGGTAATAACCCAGTAGTTGGTAAGTTTTTTTTTTTTTTTTTTTTTTTTATTTCTTTCAAAATAATTATTAATTATTTTAATTTATAAAAAATAATTTAGTTAATGGTCGAACAGTTGTTAACAGCCAAACTACTTTTTATAGTTGGTTCCATCAAGTATCTGGTGTTAGTATTCCCATTCCATACACATTAACACTTACCGAGACAGCTCCAAATACATACACCTATTCAAATAATGCATTCTTCCCAATTGATGGCAGAGGTAATTAAATTTACTTTTTTTTTTTTTTTTTTTTTTTTTTTTTTTTTTTTTAAAGATAATTAATACTAATGGTTTATTAAAATAGGATGGGACAACTCTACTCTTTATCCAAATGAGCCACATTACCTTCAACACAATTTCCACTTTTGTATGAAGATTCATTACTATTTCAATTACAGGTTAGCATTTTATAATACAAAATCCTAATGATAATTATTTAACTTACTTTTTTATTTATTTTAATATTAGGGGTGGTGAATATTTTGTAAGAAATTTTAATTTTTTTTAATTATTTATTTCAATATATTAATACTGATTTCATTAAAAGACATTTACAGGGGATGATGATGTTTGGGTATTCTTTAATGATGTTTTAAGAATTGGTACGTTTAAATAGTTTTCTTAAAGCCCAGTATTTTAATATTATAGATTTATTAATTTTTTTTTTATAAAATAGATATTGGTGGAATTCACACAGCCGGTATGTATTTGTTTTTTATATATAGAAAAATAATTTTAATATTTATTAATACTTTAATTTTTTTTAGCTTCAAAAACAGTTTATATGGACGATCTTGGTCTCACAGTTGGTCAAGATTACCCATGGGACTTTTTCTATTGGTAATTATTTTTTCATAATTATAAAATATATTTTTTTTAATATCTAATATTGTTTTCTTTAAAAATAGTGAAAGACATACATCACAATCAACTTTAAATATTGTAACTAATTTAAATTTCACTTGTTTATACTACGATGTAAGTGTCCATATATATATATATATTATAATTGTATAGTAATGTATTAATATTTTTTAAATCAAAAAAAGGCTTGTGGTGTTTGTGAAGGTTTTAACGATACTTGTTGTGTTATCCACGGGTAAGTATTATTTTTAAAATTATATTTTTAAAATAAGTTTTATTAATTTTTCTAATTTTTTCAAAGATGTGACGTAATTAATCAATGTGTTGACCAAAATTGTGGCAGAGAAACCAACTTTACTTGTGATTATACACCAAAATCATGTGTTGACGGTAATGCTTGTAAGTACTCTATATAAATGTTTGAAAGACAATATAAAAATAATTAACATTAGTGTTTTTTTTTTTTTTTTTTAGGTACAAATGATGTAGGTAAAAAAAACGATTGTGGATTTAGTTTACATTAACTAATTTTATTTTTTATAAATAGGCATGTGATGTTGGTTTTGGTTGCATTAATATTAATCGTGATTGTTCAGATCGTAATCCATGTACAACTGATACCTGTGATCCAGGAGCAGGTTGCAGCAGTACTCCAATCCCTAACTGTGTAGTTTGTAAGTTTTTTTTTTTTTAAAATTTATAAATTAAAATTTTTTTGCTAATCTAATGTTTTAAATTCTTTTAGGTGATGAAACCCATCCATGTAGGTTTAAACAATTTAATATTTATTTTTATATAGTCTTATTAACCTTTTAAATAATTTTAGGTATCACCATTGATTTATGTTTCCCACGTTATTGTGATCCAAATAATCCAGGAGCTTGTATTGAAGAGCCATTAAACTGTTTGTATCGATTAGAAATAAAATAAAATTTTAAATATTTACTAATTAAAAGTTTTTAAAAATCAAAAGGTTCAAATGCTGATCCATGTGTTAATTCATATTGTGAAGAAGGTAGTTGTGTATATGATATTGTTTGCACACCAACTCCATCTGGTACTCCATCACCAACTGCAGTTCCAACAGACTCACCATTCCCAACAGGTACACCAACTCCACCACCAAAACCACCACTTCCAGCATACCCACCACCAGCTGACCTCAGAAGAGGTTGTTTAACATGTCAAGATTTAAATTGCGAGGTTCAAAAACCAAACTCATATGGCCAAAGACCACAATGTACCTATTACATTAATGAGGAGTATGAAGAGGGTTGTGATGATTGTTGCAAATATTCCCCAACATGTTATTTTAGTAGTAATTTATAAACATTTCAATAAATAAATTATATTAAATGTGCAGTTTAAAAAAAAAAAAGTAAAATTTTAAAAAATCTAATTACAAATTTTTTTTCCTTAAAAAAAAATATCTTGGCACTATATTTAAACCCTATCCTGGTATTTTTTTATGGGGCTTTAAATGTGGAATATAAAAGAAATTTGGATATTTTTTTTTGGGTTTGAAAATTATTTGTTGTTTTCTTAATTCAGAAAAACAAAAGAATTTTCGGGCATATCGGTTACCTGTTTTAAAAACTTTTTTTTTTGAAATAAAATTAATTTTTTTTTTTAAAAAAATAATTATTTTTTTATTTTATTTTTTATTTTTTCAAAAATATAAAATTGTTTATTATCTATTTATAAAATATGTTATATAATGAATAGTAATATTAATAATAATAGTAATAATAATAGTAAATTTTATGAGAGAGTTAGAGATGGGTTTTCATTAGATTTAAGATCACTTTCTTTTTTTAGAGTATTATTATCAACATATTTATTGGTGGATTTAGCAACTAGAAGTATATATTTAAATAAACACTATACAGATTATGGCACCTATCCAAGAAGTTCATCTGTATCAGGAGAGAGATACTCTTTTCATCAATTTGGTGGCTCAACAACTTTTGTTTTAATAATATTTATAACAAATGCAATTATAAATCTTTCATTAATGGTCGGCTATAGGACACGTCTTTCAACAATACTATCATTTGTATTTTTGGCATCTCTTCAAAACAGAAATCATTTTGTTATAGACGGAAGTGACGATTATTGTAGAACTATGCTATTTTTTTCAATATTTTTACCATTAGGAGAGTTCTTTTCAGTTGACTCAATACTATCAAATAAAAACAAACCAAAGGAAAAGAAAAAGTATTTGTCGGGTGGCACAGTCTCATTTCTTACACAATTCATATATATTTATGTTTTTACTGCATTATTTAAAGCTGGTGAAGCATGGCATGAAACTTACGATGCAGTATATTACGCACTAAATTTAATTCAATTTGGGCATGGTATGGCTTCATTTTTCCTTCAATTCCCAAGTCTAATGGTGTTTTTAACAAGGGTATTTATTATTAATTTTAAATATTTAAAAAAAAAAATATTTTGTTAATTTTTTTATTTTTTTAGGTAACTTTAATTTTTGAATATGTTGGACCATTCCTTTTAGTATCACCATTTTTCAATTCAACAACAAGAATAATTTCGATTTTAGGATTTGTTGGAATGCACATTGGCTTTGGTTTGTGTTTAAACCTTTATTTATTTGTTTTTATACCAATGGTTGTATGCACAGCATTTATCCCATCGGACGTTTGGGATTTTATTGAAAGAAAATATATAGCAACTAAAGAACCAATTAAAATTTATTATAACTCAAGGTTAACAGCTAAAAATATTCAATTTAAATTGTTTTTAGATTGCTTTTCAACATTCTTTTTATTTAATCACAATGTTATCATTAATGCAAATAGTAGCAAAGCTCAGCTCGATTTTAATGGTCAGGATAGCATGGATATCGAACGAGGCAATAATGAAGTTTATGTAGAAAATATTTCAGTTCAATATAATGGTCAAACTTTTACAGAAGAAAGAGCAATACAGTTTTTAGTTTCAAAATCATTTTCATTATTTTTAATTTCAAATTTATCTATAAAGTATTTCGAAAAGGTTTTATCATATATTTTAAATTTCAATAATAATCACGACAAATCTACAAAAAATAATAGTAATAATAGTAAAAATGATGAAAATGAAATTTTTAATAGCTTTGGTAACAATCCAAAGAAATCACTGAAAAGAAATATAAAAAATGCATTTTTTGTTATTTTAATGACCTACCTATTTTACTATAATCTATGCATTTATGAAACAATGCTACCAGATACAAGTTTGGAACCATCAATTGCATATCATGGTTTTGTTAAACTTTTAAGAGTTGACCAGTATTGGGCAATGTAAGTAATTTTTTAAAAATATTTTTTTTTACCCACCCTATATTAATTTTATATTTTTTTTTTTAAAAATAATATAGGTTTGCGCCAGAACCACCAAGAAGGTCGGTATGGATCGTTTCAGAAGGAAGATTTTCAAACAAATCACAAATTGATGTGCTTACGGGCGAAACCACAAACTATAAAAATATTCCTTCATTATTTTTTAATGTAGGTCAAAGAGAAAGAAATTTTTTATTAGCTGTATCATACGTGGATCATCTCAGATTAGAGTTTGGAAGATATTATTGCCGTAAATATAATATCTATGAAAAAAATGAAAATTTTGGTAAACTTATAGACTTCAGAATTTATACACTTCTTAAAAACACACCTCCACAGGGCATAGACCTCGAAACATTGGATCCAAATATTAAATTCCAATATATCTCTGCCCAGTTATTAATTATTTTAATTTATAAAAAATAATTTAGTTAATGGTCGAACAGTTGTTAACAGCCAAACTACTTTTTATAGTTGGTTCCATCAAGTATCTGGTGTTAGTATTCCCATTCCATACACATTAACACTTACCGAGACAGCTCCAAATACATACACCTATTCAAATAATGCATTCTTCCCAATTGATGGCAGAGGTAATTAAATTTACTTTTTTTTTTTTTTTTTTTTTTATTTTTTATTTTAAATTTTATATAAAAAATTAAAAGTAAAAATGTTATTAAATAAATTAAAAAGATTAAATATTATCAAACGAAATTATTCAACCTCAGCAACAGATATAAAATTAAATAAAGAAGTATTTCCATCATATGATGTTAAAGAATTTGAAAACATTTTAAAAAACACACCCATTAGATTCCCATCTATGGATTTAATACCAACAAAACCAAAAGTTGCCGTTGGTATGTCGGGTGGTGTCGACTCAACTATTACTGCAAAGATTTTAAAGCATCAAGGTTTCGATGTAACTGGTGTTTTTATTAAAAGCTGGGATGATATTGAAGAATCAGGTAGATGTCAAGGTGAAAGAGATTATAAAGATGCAATAGCAGTAGCAAAATATTTAGATATCCCAATGTATCAAGTAAGTTTTAGTATAATTTAATCAATAACTGTCATAAGATTTTATTTAACCAAGCTAAAATTTTAAATTATAGGCAGATTTTGTTAAAGATTATTGGAATAGAGTTTTTACAGGTTTTTTAAAAGACTATCAAAGTGGGATTACACCAAACCCTGACGTATGGTGCAATAGAGAAATTAAATTCGATTTATTTATAGATTTTGCAAAAGAAAACTTTGGTGTCGATTATATTGCAACAGGTCATTATTCAAATTTATATTATGATAAAAACGATCCAAATAAAATTGAGCTATATAGATCTGTTGATAAAAGCAAAGATCAAACTTATTTCTTATGTATGACCAAAACCAAAGGTTTAGCCAATTCTATTTTCCCAATTGGTGATTTTACCAAAGATAAAATTATAGATTTTGCAAAAACCATCCCAGATTTTACAAATGTTCTTTCAAAGAAATCAAGTAGAGGCATTTGTTTTATTGGCAAGAAATCATTACCAGATTTCTTATCACAATATATAGATTTAAAACCAGGTTTCTATTATGATATTTCAAAAGGTTTTATAATACCTCATCAAAAACATCAAGGTTCAATTTGTTATACTATTGGTCAAAAAGCAAAAATACATTCATCAAGTGAAAAGTAATTTCAAAACAATATTATTATTTATAACTTTATGTATACTAACTTTATTACTATATATAATAATTATTATTAATAGATATTATGTTGTTTCAACAGACATTAAAAAAAACATTGTAAACGTTTGTCCCGAATCATTGGTTAGTAAATATTTAAACTTTTCTCAATTCCAAATTCATGGTTTAAATTGGATTAATGAAATACCAAAAGAAGTTTTTTCAGAGGAAGGTTTTAAAGCAAGAGGTCAATATAAACACCGTGGCGAAATTGTAGAATTAATAATGAAACGTACAGATGATTTATATAATAATTCAAATGTTTATAATATTCAAATAACCTCGGAGCCAATTAGAAATTTGGCATCGGGTCAAATATTATGTTTATTTGATAAAGACACCGATAAGTGTTATGGTGGTGGTATAATAAAAACAAACTAGTACAAATAAAATATTAAATTTTACTTTTAACTATATTAATTTTAACTTTATTATTTTTTGGAATTTATTCGATCAAAGATTAAATATAAATTTATTATTTTTATCAAAAATTGGTAAATTGTAAATTTAAATTTTAAATTATTAAATAAAATTAAATTTTGTAAAATAAATGAAAGAAAATTAAATTTTAAAAAAGGGAAAAAAAAAATTAATAATTATCAATTAAATAAAATTAATAGTTTGTTGTTGAGATAATATATTATTATAAAATAATTATTTATTACTACTAATTAAAAATAGGAAATTAGGGGGAAAACAAGGGTATTGTTGTGTGTGGGTGTGTTAAAAATAGAAAATTTTGCTCATTAATCTTTATTTTTTTTTTTTTTTTTTTTTGTTTTTTACCTCTGGACAACTACTTTTTAATTTTCTACTTTTAAATGAAAATAATAAAAAAAAAAAAAAAAAATTATTTATTTGTGGATAAATGATATATTCCAAAAATAAATATTTATTATTTTTATTTTAAAAAAATAATAAAAAACAAATAAACAATTAAAATCTTAATGACTTCATCAAATTTTTAATTTTACAGCTATTTCTTTCCAGGTGCTCTATATATTAATTATTAGTGTATGTTTTTAAATTAACCAATTTTTAAAATTTAATTTAAAAAAAAAATTAATAAAAAGAAATAAATAGAAAAAAATAATATTAAAAATATTTTCAATATCGCGACAACACTTAAAAAGAAAAGTTTAACTGTAAAGCATGTACCACTATTCACACTAATATTAAAACATTTTTGTTTTTTTATTGTATTGATAACTATTTTTCTTCTTTTATTAAATCTCAGTGGATCCCTTATTTGATCACATGCACAAAAAAAAAAAAACACAATATAAATCCTCCACAAATATAGCAAAAAATAGAATAAAATGTGAAGGTCTTTTTAATCTTTTTTCATTATTGTAATTTTTAACAATATTAAATAAAAGTAGTAGCGGTATATTAGTAGAATAACTTTAACACTGAATGAAGGGTAAATAAAAAAAGGGAATAAAAAAGTGGGGGTGACAGGGAAAGAGTGAAAAAGAATTTAGGGGTGGTTAAAAAAAAAAAAAAGAAGGTTAGAATTTTAAAAAAGATAATGAAGGTGCTATCTAATCAATTGAAGTGTGTGGGTATGTGTGTTATTGTGTGTATATGTGGGGTTTGTTTATTTTTGTTTATTTTTATATATTGTTAATATGTGAGTGGTAAATTGTGTGTTGATGTTTTTTTTGTTGTTGTTGTTTTTGTTTTGTTTAAATTATTTTGGGGTTGTATAGAAGTAAAAATAATTATATTGTTTATTTGAGAGCGCGTGTGTAATTATCTTTATTGTCATTATTATATCAAAACTCAAAACATGCGATGAACTTTTTTTCTTTTTATTTCTTTTTTTTTTTTTAATTTTAGATTCAAAATAATTTTAATAAGAAAATGTATTGACAATTTTTAAAAAATAAAATTAATTTAAAAATATTAAATGTAATAATGTTATATTTATAATTTTTTTTTTAAAAAATAATAACCCCTTATTTCACCCCTAATTGAAGAAGAATGTAGATACCACTAACCAAAACTGTATGTTGCGAACAAATTTAATTAAAAAAAAATAAAATTTAAAACCTAAAAAATTTAAAAAAAAAATATTTTTAATATATATATTATTATTATTTTGTGGTTATTTTCTTTTTTTTTTTTTTTTTTTTTTTTTTTTTTATAATTTAAAAAAAAATTGAAAAAGAAGAAACTTTGATTTTAATCAAAAATAAAATTAAAATAAAATAAATAAAAAATAAAATAAATAAAAAATAAAATTAAATTGTATTAAAGAAGAACCTCCTTTTTAAAAAAATAAAATAAATAATTTATAAATATAGAACCGTATATGTTAATAAATAACTTTTAAATAATAATTTTACCTTTTTTTTTTTATATAAAAAAAAAGCACCAATAGATTAAAAGAAG